AATGATCATCTCAAGCTAGGTATATCTTTTTGTAACCACAGTGAATACAATTGTTTTCTCCCAATATCTCCCAGAACTAGATTAAACTTAGTAAAATATTTCATATTTCCTGAAGAAATTTGCTCTCTTTATATAGAAAGTAATTTAGTTTCCTTATTAACTTAATTTCTTCAGAATTTGCCATTGTTTCATGCCAAGAACAAAGTTGTATATTTTAGAAGCTTTCTTTCCACCCTTTCCTATGTGTCTTCTGTCACTAAGCCCCCTGAGCTATGTACATCAAGGACTCAGAGTTTAAAGCTCAAAATTACAAGCTAAATTATTCTCCAGCTAAGGATATTCTCTCCACCATTTGCCCTTCGGAAACGACTGAAGCTTTCGGCTTTGTTGTTGTTGTTGTTTTAATCATCTTCCCTACATGTACTGCTTCAGGGCAACTCACCCAATGATGTAACCAAAAAACAAAATGTCCCCCATTGCCTGCAATAAAAAAAAACATTACAGCCGCCACTGAAAACTCCCTACACTCCCTTGAAGAGTAGCTATGGCTATTAGAGAACACAGGTCTCTTGTGAGGAGTGACCTAGCTGGCCTAGAAGGACAACTCAGAACAACTTGGATCCATGTTTCACTTTTGTTTATTTTTGTTTTGGTTTATAAACAAATTAGAAGTTGCCCAGGGCCGAAGTCTGCCAAATGACCAGCTACACATGCCCAAAAATAAAGAATCACTATGTGATTATTTTCATTGTTGTGTTCCTGGAACCTAGCCTAGTATCAAGCACATAGAAGACTGTCAACAAATGCTTAGGGAGTGAATGAGCAAATGTCCAGATGGTTCCAAGGACCGAGGAAAAGGTGCTCACCAAGTCTCTCTGCAGGGGGTCCCTTACATGCCAAGGACCCTTTGGCAGTCTGTTGAAGCTGGCAGACCCCTTCTCAGAGTATTTTTAAATATATAGTATGACAGGGGAAACATTATATCAAATACAGACAGAGGAAACTAGTTATATTAAAATATATTGAGATCAAACATGCCTCTATGGCATAAGCTGGGCTTGTCAAGTCACAGGCACCGCTGTATGGAGGCCAGGCTGGGCCAGTTCACTGGCAACACCCCCAAGTGACAACATCTGCAGGCTTTTTGTTCAGTATCTCAGACAGGAATCCTCCAAATTCCTGTCTAGGATGCCACCGTTCTCAGAGGGAAGTGGCAGAAAGAGGCCAGAGAAGTTCCCAGCACAGTGAGTCAGTTTTCACATCACCCACTAGTTCCCATGTGGTGTCATCACCCTTAGCCATGCCCACGGTCCCCCAAGCCACGGGCTTTCTGTTCAGCCTCTTAGGTCTGCACCTGAGTAAGAAGGGCACAGTTGTCCAAGTGAACAGGGAGACATGGGCTGTGGGGCCCACCTGTTTATTACAAAGATTTCCAACCTGGGTGCTGTATCACCTGCACTCCTACTGTGAAGGATATTTGTGCCTCAGTCCCCGAGCCTTTCTGGGGGCCAGAGGTACAAATCAGCCTGCTTTCAGACTTCTCACTTCACTACTCTGGCTTAGGATGCAGCCTGACATACTCATTAATAATGCCTCTGTTCACTGTTTCAAACATCCTGAATAGAGCCCAAAATGAGGCATTTTTGGTATCTACTATAGTGCCTGGTACATAGTTCCTTGAGATGGTAACTTCTGCTGTTACTAATAATGATTTGAAGTGATGCTCCCACCAGATCTCAGTGGATTACTTGATGTGGTAAGCTGGACGTGAGCTTAGAGCTGAAAAGTCCGTTTCTTTTTTACACTCTAGAATCCATTTAGGCTTTAAGCTTTGTTTTAGAAACAGAATTAACTCCCACCTAGTTTTTTTTAGGATCTCAACTGAATGTAGGGCTCCCCGGAATAAAGTCACCAAAGTCAGAGGCAGATCAGTTTAGGCTGGAAAGGAGAAGAGAAATTAGGCACAATTTCATTTTGAACAGGAAAAAAAGTGAGACTTAAAGCACAAACAAAACAAATAAAGGATTTCAGAGCAGGGTAGAATAAATCTCAGGCATAGATATGGCTTTTTCCATTCCTCAGTGAGCTCTGTGGGTGGAGCCTGAGCTGAGCAGACTGCCGGCACAGGGCCTTGGGAAGACGGGTGAAGCATCTCAGCAGAGAGGAGGGGGCCCCAGTGATGCTCAAGGTAAAACATCCTCTATAGTGGAAATAGCAGACAAATTCACAGGAAAACCTTTGTTAGGGAGAAAACCAAGAATGGGCCTTGTCTTAGTTTTTCTGAGTCATTAACCCGCTGCCAGACAGATGAACGGCTCACAGTTATGTGCCAGACCCTGGGCTACATCCTGGTCATGTGGAATGTGACACGCAGTCCCTGCTCCAAGTAGCTCAGACTACAGACAAGGAGAGACACATGGCGGTGACAGCACTCCGTACTGTGGAAAGGCATGCTGTGTAAGTTGGGAAGGGTAACCTCAGTACAAAGGGCCCCAAGCCCTGTCGCTAGCCACAGTAGACAGCATTTCCCGTATTGCAGAATAGTGCAGGAGTCTGCAAGGCAGTCCTCACGTGGCTCTGACTATTCCCGTGGCCTTAGAGTTCTTTTGGATCCTTCACATCCAGTCAACAGGTAGAAGAAAGAGGAAACTGGAGGGTGGCACAGGGAGATTTTTTGGGCCAGGTTTAGAAGCCATTTGTCAGAGTTAGTCACATTGGCCCCACATAACGCAGTACCTGGGCAGCCACTTTCTGGTAACAATTCTACACGGTGAAGGGGGAGAATTAGTCTTCTGTGAATGGCCAGCTGTTCGTGAGACTTACGCATGGAGGAGGCATGTGAGCGGAGCTAAGAAAAGAGAGAAAACCCAACTGTGCATGTGTGTGTGTGTGTGTGTGTTTCTACGGTGAGGGATAGATCTTAGCAATAGCTCCATGGAATAACTGACATTTTAACCAAGTTTTACAAGAAAAATAGTATTTAAGTCATGAAGGGCATTGAGAGAAGACAGTTTAAATAGAAAGAACAGCATGTGCAAAGGTACTGGAGAATTCATCCCGTCATCTATACAACAAATCCTATAAAAGTGTCCTTGAAGTGCCACTATCATATCACAGACGTCTCTTACATTCAAATCTAAGTACCTGGACATATGGATCAAATTTTTATAAATGGAATAATTTTAAAAGCCATTTAAACCAGGAAGATCGAAGATGTTTGGGGATAGAGGGTTTTGAGTCAGGGCCCTCCCTTGCTTTATGTCTCCACAATCTCTGAGCTTGGAGTGGATGCCACTGACTCCAGCATTCCTGGACCTACTTTGGGTCATCTGTTCCAACATCTGCACAGTTGCATCTATCTTTCCCATTTCAGGGATTCTGTATAAATTTTGGCCATATGAGTGTACTTTCCTTGTCTTCTGCTGCAGCTATGTTTATTGTTTATTCTAACTAATATCTTCTCTGTCATTACTAGGGACTCGGGACAAGAATGAAAGTTAACATCTGCTGTTTTCATCCCACCATTCTCCTTTGTAACTCTCTCTATATCAATAATCATGCCCTGATTCAACTTTTAGAGAAACTATTTTAATTTTCAAATATATGTTTCAGCTAGTGTAACTGCTATGTTGAACAAACAGTATTCCAAAAGTGAAACCACACACACACACACACACACACCCTCTACATTCTTTGCTTCCACTGTTTGTTCACCTTACTTTGTGGGGTTAGTTCTTTCTTTACCCCTGGATAAAATCTTGAGCAATTTCCACACTTTTTATTGTCACTCTCAGATAATAAAGTCTATTAGTCACATTTCAATAATTAAAATACCTCATAAAAATGATGAATTTCATTTCAGGTTAAAGATTTTTCTCTTCTAGATGAGTCTGCTCCAGGCCCAGGAAGTCCGCAGAGGAAGTGGGGGGGGGGGGAGAGTTGGCTTCCCTCGTTCGCTCTGCCCCTCTGCGTGCTCACACACCTGGACACCTTGCCCCGCAGGATCATCTCCTTCAGGTGGTCTCAAAGTCTGAGTCACACAAATGCCTGTACAGCCGGGGAGGCATCATGAAGGAGCACGGCCGGGGGCGTCCGAATGAGGAAATCCAGAGGGCGCCTGCTGTCACCACGACAGGACACAAGTCTTGAATGGCCACAGTTTCCAAGAGAAGCTGGAAATGTGAAATGGTGGGGTCTGAAATGGCCTTATTTTTCAGTTGGTAACTAATTAAATTAAAGCAACAGCAAATACAACAGGACAATACCAGGCTGACTGACAAAACCATCTGAGAGCCGTAGGTGACTTCTGGGATAAACACTCTAAATCCGAGAGTCTAGGGCCTATACCACTGCAGATTGAACAGGTGCTTAAAACACAGACTCCCCACAATAAGTCCCCTTTACACCCAGGCAGGAAGTGGCTTTGTAACCACTTTGAAATCTGCCATGTTCCCACCCCCACCCCGAAAGAAAGCTGGCCTGAGGCATCCTAGAAGCCACTCCGAGCCCGCTCACGGCAGCAGCCCCACGTAGGCCAAGCCAGCCTTGCTGCTGACCCCGTGGGCCTCCAGGGGCCCCAGCAGACGTGCACAAACACTCACATACATGCAGACTAAAGTCACAGAGCTCTTTAGCCTTCCTCACAATTTACGGAGTATTTCACACTCTTATGCTTAGCCGGTGAGAATCTACTGAACCACATACTTCTTAACACCACACAATGACCTTCTGAAGCTTTGAATACACACTTTTAAGAGCTTGATTCAGTTCTTAAATGGTACTCCATCTTCTCTTTGCTTCTGGTCTAGGACGAAAGGAGGAGGAGTTTTTTCTTTTCATTACACAGTATATCAGGACATCATATAGGAAAATATGGCTCATAGTAAATTTTGTGCTTATAGTAATTTTGGCCAGTTGTAGTTCATGGTCCTGCAGTTCAGAGCACCTTCAAATCACAGAGGATACCCACAGCCCCAGTTTGAAGAAGTGCCTCCTCTCATGGCCACAGATGATTGGACAAGGCACCCCCTACAGCTTCCCAGTGAAGCAACTATCTGGTGCTCTGAAAAGATGAATTCAAACAATTGGATATTTTCTCTTGAAATTTTGAATAGGGAACCAATGGAAAGAATCAAGGACTTAGCAGTAGAAGCTGAAGCTGTCTGAAAGTATGATTTTAAGTGCTTACCACAGACACTTAGAGATACACATTTAAAAAGGAAAAGAAAAATCATTTCCCATTCTGTAGTCCTAGGATAATGCATCCACTTGCCCTTTGTCTAGTACAAACCACCTCAGTTCTTAGCCCAGAGTTTGTAATGTGAAAAGTGGGGGAGTATTTCATAAGAAATGGGCACACCTTATGGGTATTGCATTTTTCACCAATTGAAGGTTTGTGATGACCCTACTTTGAGCAAGTCTCTAGGAACCCTTTGTCCAACAGCATTTGCTCAGCTTGCATCTCTGTGCAACATTTTGGTTAATTCTCACACTATTTCAAATTTTTCATCATTATGTTTATTATGATTATCTGTGATCAGTGATTATGACCCTGAAAGCTCAGATAATGGTTACCACATTTTACCAATAAAGCATTTTTTATTTATTTGTAGACATAATGCTACTGCACATTTAATAGGCTACAGTATAGTGTAAACAGAACTTTATATGCCTTGGGAAACCAAAACACTCACTGACTCACTTTACTGCAATAGATATTCACTTTATAGCAGTGGTCTGGAACCGAACCCACAGTATCTCCAAGGTATGTCTCTACTGGGATATATTTGTTCTCTGGACTCCTATATCCTTGTGTGTAACATGGTAGTATGGGGTGTCAAGTAGAGTCTTCCCTATTTCCCTAAATTGGTGAGTACAGCCTGTAGCTCGGACCATAAAACAGTAAAAACATCACATTTCAAATTAACCAAACTTCGAGGTGTGAAGGCTATCCTTTTCCTTTAGGAGTGACTCAGAAAAGCCACTTCAGCTCAGTAAATATTCAGTGGGTGAAATTCAGGAAAGCAGAGTTTCCATAATATTACCCCCTCATTTCACCTTCAAGACAATCACTTGTCAAGTGCCTGGGAGTCTGAGGAATAGAAAAACTGATACTGACTTCTCCACTTGGGTTTCCCTGAGCCCCAAGAATCTCTGATTTGCCTGAGGGTGGGGGGAGATGAAGGGGCATCGCCATCAGAGAGACAAGAAGCACCCCCTCAAGTCTTTGGTAACTCTTCAGGATCTGAAAAGAAGGGAAGGTTGGCGACCATGGATAAGGCCACTCAGTTTATAAACGTCTCAAGAACAGAGGTCACCATTCCTGGAGGACACTGCTAAGGGGCATGGTTGGGAAGGCCAGGGTAGATGAGAATGAAGACGAAAGCTTGATCTGCCAAAATCATGGAACAGAGAAGCACATGTGTAAGCGGAAGGCAGCACGACCCCGCCTGCCAGAAGCAGCAGCTGGATCCCTTGAGGAGCTCCTGAAGTGCAGGGACAGTCCTCACCATCACCACGGGGCCCCTCTTCAGCCCAGCAGGACCACAGCGAACTCAGACTAATGACAGCCACCTCAAGAAAACATGCTTTCAAATAAACATGGATGATTAATGAGCCAGTGTCAGCTTGGAGGAAAGTATGATGCCACACTGTCGCCCTAAGACCTGTTTACATCCCCCTACAGAAAGCTCCGATCTAAGAATGTAAGGAATTCTGGGAAGACATTTTTTTCAAGGAAGAGTCTTTACAAGACTAAAGAATTCATATGGTTCAAAAAAAACCTCTTCTGTTTATCCTTTTAATATGTCTTTATGATCTGAAGTAATGTCTCCACTCTCATTCCTGACATCAGTAATTTGTGTTTCTATCTGATAATTCTTTCTACCGGTTTATCAATGTTATTGATCTTTTCAAAGAACAAGCTTCTGGTTTCATTGATTTCTCTATTTTTTATTTGATTTCTGGTTTTCATTGTTTCATTTTCATTTTCTTTCTTATTTTGGGTTTAGTTTGCTCCGCCTTTCTGCTTTCTTAAGGTGAAAGCTTAGATCATTAACTTGAGATGTTTTTTCTTTTCTAATTAAAAAATTTAATGCTTTCTCTCTAAGCACTATTTATCTGCACCACATACATTTTGATGTTTTCATTTAAATTCAGCTCAAAATACTTTTAAAATTTCCCATTTCCTTATTAATGGGCTATTTGGAAGAATGTCATTTAGTGTCCCAATATTTGGAGGTTCTCTAGATATTTTTCTATTATTGATTATTAATTTCTTTTTTGGAACATACTTTGTATACTCTGCATGTTTCATTTTATCGAAACTTGTTTTGTTGCCTAAAATATGGTCTATTCTTGGTAAATTTTCCTGTGTACATGAAAAGACTATATTCTGCTAAACTGTTGTTCTTCTATGAGTTGTTAAAAAATGTTGAAATCTCCACTATAGATGTAGTTATCTCTTTTCAGTTTCATCAGTTTTTTATTCATGTACTTGAAGCTCTACATAAACATTTAAGATTGTTATGACCCCTTTATCATTACAAAGTGTTTCTTTATCCCTGGTAGTATCCCTTGCTCTAAAATCTTCTCGTTTACTAATATAGCTACTCCAACTTTCTTTTGATTAATGTTTACCTGTATATATGTTTTCATCCTTTTATACTTTTATCTATGTCTTAGTATTTAAAGTAGGTTTATACAGATAGTATTTCCTTTTCTAACAAATCTGACAATCTCTGCTTTTTAATTAAAGTGTTTAGTCCCTTTGTAATTAAGGTTTGACTTAAACCTATCATCTTTGTTCCTTTTTCCTCTTTTCCTGCCTTCTTTAGGACTGAGTGATATTTATTCCACTTTATCTCCACTATTGGTGTGTTAGCTCTCTGTTTATTGTTCTTAGAGATAAGTCTAAAGTTCCCAATTTATGTATTTACCACAGTCTATCTTCAAATACTATTATGCTATTTCATAAAGTCAGACACAAAAAGCTCCTATATTCATGAGTATTTTTGCTACTGTTATACATTCTACTTTTATATCAATTATCACTGTTAGTATTTTTACTTCAATCAGTTACCTGTTAAATAAATGTTTAAAAATGAGAAAAACATTCATGTTTATCCACATAGTCTCCATTTCTGGAGCTCTTTATTTCTCTGTGAAGATAAAAATCTCTCTGTATTGTTTTCTTTCTACCCCAAAAAACTTCCTTTAACATCTCTTATAGTACAAATTTGTTGGTGATGAATTCTTTCAGCACTTTTTTTTTGGCTGACAAGTCTTTTGTTCACCATTTTTGAAAGATACTTTAAAGATATTGTTCCACCGCTTCTTGCCTGCATGTTTTCTGATGAAAAGTGTGCTTTCATTCTTATTTTTGTTCCACTGAATGTATCATTTTTCTCTGTCATATTTCAAAAAGGTCTCTTTATCACTGGTTTTCACACAGCTTAATTATATGGATTTTTAATTTTCGTTTTCTTCATGTTACTTCTCCTCATGGCTGGTTAAGATATTGGATCTGTGAGTTTAGTTTTCATCAAATATGGAAACATTTTGGCCGATATTTCTTCAAATATTTTTCTATCATCCTCCCTCCTTCTAGAAGCCACTTATATATATATTAGACTTAATATTAAGACAAAATGTATGGAGCTTTCTGCAGTCTTTCTTTTCTTTTTAATTTTGCATAATTTGTGTAACTATGTCTTCAAGTTCATTAATCTTTTCTTCTGCAGTATCTAATCTGTTCCTAATCCCATTCACGATATATTTTTATTTCAAATATTTCTATATCTCTAGATGGTTGGTCTACTAATGCTATCATTTGTCATTCTGAGTCTGTTTCTATTGACTAATGATTTTCTTGGATTGTATATTCTCTTTTCCATGTCTGGTCATTTTTTAATTGATGCTGATCATTGCAATTTTTACATTTTTGGTGCTAGATTTTATTTTAGTTCTTTAAATTTTGGGGGTTTTTCCCCTCCTTGGATGCAGTTTAATTATTTGGACTGTTTGATCCTTTCAAGTCTTGCTCTGAAGTCTTGTTAGGACAGGTTCTGAGCAGCCCTCAGTCCACAGCTATTCCTATCCCCCTGCCCCAAAGCTACCCAACTTTGGCAGTATCTTGTGAGGACTCTACTCAATGCTCCATGTATTAAAACATCTTTCCATTATGGTTGAAACACAAATATTCCCAGCCTTGAATGTGCTCTAAGGAATTTTTCATCACTCCTTTCTCCTTTTGTAGTATTATTTCCCAGACTGGGTCATTTTCCTGTATGGATTTTGTTCTCTCCATTTATGATGTATTAAATTTTTATTTGGCAGATAATCAAGTTACTGAGGGATGGCCTTGATTCTCTCATCTTATTTTTAAGCTCTGTTAAAGTTAGTGTACATTAGCTTTTAGTTAGTACTAGTTTATACCTCCTACTAAGATGTGATCTTCTGAGGTCTTATGCAAATGTCCCACATGTTTAACAAGGTCTTTCTACTCTGGCTGATTAGAATTCAAACATATCACAGCACTGTGTGAATTTTCCCAATATATATATATATACACATAATAATATATATATTCTATATTCTATATGTGTGTTTGTGTGTGTGTATGTATGTGTGTATATAGATATAGATATATCTCAGAATTATTCCATTTATAAATCTCTGGCACTTTTTCTTTTTCAGCTCCTGTAGTAGACAGGCACCTGTGTCAAAGTAATTATAAGCTAATAAACCTCTCATTTGAAAAGGCTTATTCGTACATCTTCAGGAGCAGCAATGCAGGTAGGAAGCCTGAAGAACTGTATCAGACCCTAAGGTCAATCTTGTGGAGGACACAATGTCATGGGATGGGTGGTGGCAACTATCAAGAAGGAAAGGAGGGAGGCTGAGTTTCTTGGAAAAAAACAACCCAGAGGGAGCTGGTCTAGACCTCAAAACTGGTCCTTATGTCTAATAAAACAAAAAGCTCCGTCTGAGGTTTCTCAGTACCAACTGTAGATAATTTCAAGATGACTGGGTGGGACATGAGGTAGAGTCATGATGAGACAACATTTTTCCTGGAAAAATAGAGATTAGAACCGTAGCCTTGACTTCATTATAACAAATTTAACCAATGACTTGAGCTCCCCATTTATATGCATTGCAGATTAACTGTGGACTAAGAACTTCCTTTGGGCTAAGAAATTTTTCCAAAATGCACATTCCACTGGGATCCATTTCTAACCCAATATAATTATTCCTGGGCAGAGCATTATCACAAGATATCAAGCCAGAAACACAATTAGGATATTCAAGTGAAAGGATTCACTTAAGTCACAACCAAATATAAACAAAGGAAACCAGCCTAAAGCACATTAAGCATTTGCAATGAGCCCCTCATGGTTGATAATCAAGCTGGATTAAGCACCATCTTGAACTACTGATATTAATGATCCACTGTGAACCAAGATGATGTAGTCTAAGGTACTTTCTATTCATGAAGTATTATTCTACCTCATCTATAAAACAAAACTGATAGCTGATCACTACACGTTTTGCAGACTACGTTTCTATCTTTTCCTACTAAAAATAAGTACTTCCACTGTTGTCATCATCCAAAGGCACCACCAATTTTATTTGTTCACCAGGTCATAAGATGATCCTGGCGCACTGCCCATGACCTAGTCAAGCCACTACAGAAGACTCAGTGATGCTATTTCGGGTGCCTCTTCTTGCTGCTCTGAGCAGGCGGCTTCCGCATTGTTGCATAAACAGTGATGGGAACATCAGTTATTGTCAGGCAATGGCTTCCAGGGCATCTATGGAGTTGTCTGAATAAAAGAGCAAATGTCATGGAGTTTAGATGCTAGAAATTTTTTCAGTGCACTGAAGTTTGAATGCATATTCAACCATTTTAAATCATTTTGAAATCTTTGAATGTCACAAAATAATCATAGCATAGTGGCATTGAGGAGGTAGACACTTTAGATTTAGACTGCAAAGAAACTGTGGTTGTTGCCACACATTTAATCACAGGAAGTTCCTAAATAAAAACATAAACAAATGTTCATTTTGAAAGGTATGCAACGATTGCTAAATGGCAAAAAGCAAAGGTGAGGAGTGCATAGTTGTAAACATAAGTTATAGTACTATGACAACTCATGTATATGCACCTTAAAATCACTTCGGTGATTTATAAACTATAGAGTACGTGCAGAAGAACATAGAACTGAACATACTATTCCACATACTATCCAAATGTTGATAGAATCCCAGGTTTAAAAGAGCCCTTAAGTGAAATCTAGTCCAAAGATGCATCTAGTGCTTGAATTTCCTTTCCAGCATACGAACTAAATAATCATCCAACCGTAAATATTTCTAAAGACAAGGGCTTGGTACTTTCCAACATGGTCTATTCCATTCTTGAATAACTCTGATTTTTAAAGTATCTATTTTATTAAGTTTAAATCTGTGTTCTAAAAATTTTCAAGCCATAACAAAACTAAAAATGTACTATTTGGTGTTTTGCTATGTTAAACAACAGAAAAGTAGAACAAATCCTATTTATTACATACTTTTCTTAAATTAGGCAAAAATGATTTTGTTTTATATGTTATTCATACTATATCACATTCTACCAGAGGTCAAATCAAAGCCAAAGTGACACTGAATCTGAGTTCTAAAGCTTCTTTACAGCTGTAACTTTATGCCTAGCACAATGCCCTGCACATAATGGCATTGAACATTTGCTTGTTTAATTGAATATTATCTCATCTGAAATTATCAAACAAAAAACACTAGCTAAAAATTTACAAAAGAAAAATTGGTCTATCATTAAGACTTACAGAGGTACAAATGCAGACTGTGCTAAGGACCCTGGGATCTGTTAACTGTAATTTAACAAAAACAATGTTTGTTAAGACTAATTGAATAACAGCAATGTTCTGGGCTTTTTTCTTGCTGATATTGAACATTAGCTAAGGCTTACATCGATAATGTCATCACACATTTCCAGTTGTCAGGATAAGAAGACCTCACCTGGCCGGGGGCATCCCCTTCCCCTTACAGGCAGCACTGGAGCTCAGCCCAGGTTCCAGTCCAATCGGAGAATCTCCTCCTTCCAGTGGGATCCACCTTGGCTGGGTCCCAAACTGAAAAGGCATAGTTCACTGAAAACCTAGATTAAAAAGTGAAAATAATGGCTGGAGGACAGGGTGAGTTGTCTTCAAATAGTTCTTTTTAATGTTACTATTTCATTACAGGCATATAGAAACATTCTGAAAATGACATTTTAAAATATCTATTAAAATGTGTAAGTACTGCATTACACAACTCTCACTTACATACAATTTTAAGTCTTGCAACAAACACAAAATAGCCACTAGATAGTAGAAGTGGACAATGCCCATGGTTGACATCACTGAAGTCCCAATTCAATTCGCCTTTAAATGGCTGTTACGAACAACAAGCTCAAGCCCCTACCACCACCCACCCCCACTGCCTCTCTTGCTGTCTGAGCCCCTCTCTTCCTTTGAAGTACAGACGAGTTTCGTATCTGCCATGATATCTTCAGCTAATCCTTCTGTTCCTAGTGATAATATTCATTCCCACTGCCTCTCTACATTCAGAGTGCATTAGGTAAGAAAGTGCCTTGGGAGCTCGACTGACTATATGATCTTAGGCAAGGTACTTAACCAGGTATGTTTCTCAAAGATAAATTGGGAATAATGCTATCTACTTGCAGTGTAATAGTGAAGATTAAATAATACATGTATAGTGCCTAACAAATAGTGCTCAATAAATGTTAACTATTATTACTCAGTAGATGCTACTGAGCATTATTAAATATATACAAATATAACGTAATGTACATATATGATATATATATATATAATATATATGATACACAAACACGGTCCGAAAATAAGCTCCTTACTGACTACTGTAGCCTCTGCGTGGAACTTTTCCCCATCCCATTATTCCCATCCTTTACTTGTCGGGTGCAACTCACTAAGTCTGAATTTACATTTCACTTTTTCAGAGCAGCCTTCTGTAACTGCAGCCCCCCAACACACCGCCAGTTGTGTAAGTTCCCATAGCACTCCATTTCTGCTTTGTAACAGTTATCACTCTCACTCAGGATTTTTCAACTGTGATGCTATTAACATTTGGGGCAACATTATTTCCTGTAGGGGGAGGGAGGAGGCCATCCTGCGCATTCTAGGGTATCTTGTAGCATCCAAGGTTTCTATCCACTATATGCTAATAACAATCTTCCCCCAAAGTTGTGACCTTGACATATGTCCTCTTGGGGAGAAGGGGGGAGATTGCCCCCAATTGAGAACCAGTGCCTTCCTTCTTTGTAAATGTTTTTCTTCATCATTGTTCTCAACCCCATTCCATGTCTGGCTTTGTCACCACTGACCAAATCCTTAATACCTAGAACAGTGTCTGGCATACAATGGGTAATTAATAAAGTCTATCTTGTATGAATTTGCATGTCTCCAACAAAAGAAAGGAAAAAAATGAAAAATGCCTTTTAACTGTTTCTTATGCTTAGTACAATATTCTACACCTAAAAAGTAAGTGTTCATGTGCTAACAATGAAACTAAATTCTTAAAGTTTAGGAATTTGAGTATTATATAATGGTTTTTATAGACTGTATCAATTATCAATGGTCAATGACAAGTTAGCAAAATCTATGGTTTAATATGACTATCTATCTTTTGTGGGTATTAAGTTTCAGCTACTTGATCAAGGATATATACACTTACCAAAATAGGCTGAGTCTGATTCCTATCGAGGTGAATAAATCAGCTGTTCCTGCTGACCTTGCACAGAAGGCTGGAATTGCCAAAGGAGTGGCGTTCAAATGTTCTAGTGACAGCCAGGAATTAATACATCAGAAGATTCCTTCACATAGTTTCCTACCTGCTGAAGCATAAAATGTCACAATTCATAGCTAAATTATGATGTCTAGATGAGTCTAAAAGAACCTGATTTTCTTACTGTGTGTACCCTCACCCCCAACACACACATTTTGTTTCTTCCCTGGTACCTAAATAAGTCTTTATTTGTTCTGAAAAATTGAGTAACTAAACCAGGATATATTTCTAATATTGACTGTTCTATAGAAATTTTTCCATGGAACATAGTATATCCTTTTAATCTATAAATTTATCTTCTTTTATTATTTCTTATATTAGTAAGGACATTTTTTCTTCCATTTGCTGTGTACTGTGTTTCAGGGCACTTGCTAATTTAATGTTGAACCACCTTCATCTCTTTCATAAATATTTCAAAAAGCTCTTCTAAGAGCTTTAGTACCTTGCCACAATATTCTCTGTCATCATATCAAGCTCTCCTCTACATCAGTAATTTGATTTTCAGCTTGTCTGCTTCTTCATGCTTCTAATTTCTCTTTAGTCCTTTAAGATGTCTTCACCTTAATTTCCTTTCCTTTTTTATCTCCATTTTAGCTCATTTATTCCTCAAATATTTATTGACTACCTATAGTATACCAGGCAAGGTTCTCAGTACTAAGGATATAGTAGTGAACAAAGCAGCCAGACTCAGCCCTCATAGAGCTTACTTCTCAATACATTATGTCAGTATTTGTCTTTAAGTTCCTCATTACTGAATTCATACTCTTAAGTGCCTCTAATGCACAAAGAATGTATGATGACTTTTGTGTTTTTCCCCTTGGTACAGGTTTCATCCAGGTCATGCATGTCACCCATCTCTTGCATGCCATTGCCTTTTCCTTCCTTTCTGTCCTTCCTTCTGCATAATTTTCAATTATTTTCTTCTCTTGTTCATATTTAACATATAAAATTCTGCCCAGTATATTTTCTTAGTGTGGTAGTCAACTGTGGCTCCAACATGACTGCATGCCCAAAATATCACAGCTTCAACCACATTTTTCTTGCTCATCTCTGCTGTTCAGCCGATCTCTACTTGCTTCTCCTGGGTCTGACTAGGATCATCAGGAGTCCACATTCCAACTGAGATTCAGACTGAGATCTAACCCACATCTTCATCACGTTGGAAACAACAGCCAGTTTTTCTTACGAAGAGCAACACAGTCAAGAGGCAAAAGCATGCAAGCACATCTAAAGCCCCTGCTAATTTCATACATGACATCATTCCATGTGGCCAAAGCAAGCCACATGACCAATACCACAGTCAATGGGGCAAAGATGTATTCTTCTATACCAGGACATACTGCACAGCCGTGTGCATAGCAGGAGAGTAAAGAATACTCCAGTCTGCCATACTCTGCCATTGTGCGAGTAAATTCTCCTTGACTTCTTTCTTATCTTAAACTTGTTCTTCCACTTTTACCTAGAGTTCGCAAGGTCCTATTTTTCTCTTTCACTGTATTTATATCTGAGGAGGTGAATTTGAGAGAATTCCACTAGAGCTGTCTGTAGCCTTCCAGGATGGCTTGTATTCTGCTTGCTCTTCTGAAAGGTTGTTGAGATCTCAGTTCATCCAATTAGGAGTGTCAGACTGAGGTCCTGGAGTGGCTGGTATATGAGGTTCTACTTTGGCAGAACTGCCAAAGTTATTAAGGAGACTTGTTAGAACTTTCTTTAACTTTGTTCCTATGCATAACCTCTCAGGAATAATGACTGAGAATGAACCACTGGTAGATCTCTGCAGAGGCCAGAACACCAGCTGAGCCGGCTCCACAGACTGACGCAGACCTACTTACATTACTGCCCACAAACTGACCAAGCTTTGCAAATTTTGGAAGCCCCAGACTTTAAGACTTCAACATCAAGACCTCAACTTAAGTGTTGGAGGTACCCAACTGCACCTCCACCACCAATTCCAAGCTCAACAATGAAGAAGTAAGAGTAAAATGCAGCAGTTGCAAAAATTTCTTGATTAAAAGTTGCCTATTAATCACAAGGTATATAAGTAGTAAGGTGAAAGACTTCTAAATGGAAATGTGGTAAAGCCTCAGCACCATAAATCACACAGGGCAATTTCAAACTTATCAGCTATCAGAAAAATGTAGTATCAACTATAATTTGTCTTGGAGGGGAAATAAAGTGTTCGAATCAATCGAACATTAGTTATTACCATATTAATTTCACATATAATATTTTTAAATGTAGAATGCTTCCTATGATTTTGTAGTTCTTGAGAACTTTTGTAGAAAATATTACTTTCATTAAAGAAGTGCTTGAGTTCTTAATTGAAATCTGGTCTACATTGATTGCCAAGAGTTTACAGTATTTTTCAATCTTTGACAGTTTTAAGGAGTTGGTAATTTTCAGGAATGCCCAATTTTTCCATCTTCGCCTCCTTTCTCCCGTATGAACACTGCACATAAATCAAATGCATAGCTTTAATTTCATCTCCTCCATCACATTCTCATTCACTGAATCCTACTGCATTTAGAGTCAGCACAACACAATACTGTTAAGTCACAGTTTCCTTGAACAGGTCATGTTTCTCTTCAAATAGATTGTGGGCTTTCTTGAAAACTCCAGAGGGCCTAGCAGTTAATTTCGGGTACACACGGCTTCAACAGGCACCGGTCTGAGGCGCCGTTTTTGTCAAAGCGAATAACCCCTGGTTTCGGTTGTACCCTGACACTCTAGTTGTGTGGGGTTTCTTTGTGCTATGCGCCGCTCCTTTTCCGTGAGCACAAAGGGCTTGTTGGATGGAGACCCTAAGGCGGCGTTCCGAGGACTCCGAATAAACGTGATCTGACCCACCGCCCAGGGTGTGGAGGCTGGGAACCAAGACTACACCTCTCATAGTCCGTAAACGGCTTTAAAGACGCGTTTTAAAATCCCACCCCAAGGTTTGGTTACCCGCCAGTTGCCCCGGCCTTCGGAGCTGCCGCCGCTCAGAGATGTTGACAGGCAGTTCGGATTCGCCGCCGGCCGCCCGGGCACCGTGGTAACGTTCAGACGCCTGTGCCTTCGCGCGGCCTTCTGACGAAAAATGCTAACCTGCACCTAGTGAAGAGCCTCGCGACGGCAGCGACTTGCGGCAGCAGCGCGACTTACGGCCGCGCCTCCCGGTCCGAGGCGCAGTTGGGGCCCCGGCGGGTGCGGGAGCGGGTGCGGGCTCCCCGGAGCGGGCCCGCCGCGCCGCACGATGACTCAGTCGGTGGTGGTCCAGGGTAGGCTGCGCCGCGCGGGTGGGCGCCGGGTCGCCGCGGGGCCGAGCGGCCTGGGCCGCGCCTGATGCCCGTTCTCTTTCCTGTCTCCCTGATCGCAGTCGGCCAGTGCGGAAACCAGATCGGCCGCTGCTTCTGGGACCGCGCGCTGCGGGAGCACGCGGCGGTCAACCAGGTGCGGCCGCGCCGCCCCGGGACCCCGCGCGTTCCCGGGGCTCAGCCAGCGAGGAGCAGGAACTGCCCCGCTCGAGCTTTAGCTGGCCGAGAAAAGTTGTACGGGATCTCGTTAAAGAGCACATTCTGTTTAGGTGTGTGTGGGCGTTAGACGCACACGGCTGAACACCGGCCGGAAGCCTGAGTCTGGAGCTGACCAAATTCTCGGTCTCATCTTTATCAGGGTTCTTGTGAAGAGGGATGAGATAGTGTATCTGAAAGTTCTCTATAAAATAGCTAACGTGTGATATTAGATTCCTTAGTAAACAGCTTTTAAAATGATCACCAAGAATCCAGAGAAAGCTTCATTAGATGCGTCCGTTCTTCAACACTCTGTTGAACTTAATACAGATCTCGTGGCGTTTACCCCTCTCTAGATTGAAAAAAATCACTCTAAGCAGTTTTATGATAATTTGCTTTTTCTTATCATAACCACATACCAGCAATTACAGTACTGTAGGATTATTAAATTGAAAGGATTTCATTTGGGGAAGAGGCAAAACTTGATCAGTTGTATGTTTTTTTTCTTTTTAGAAAGGAATTTATGATGAGGCAATAAGCAGCTTCTTTAGAAATGTGGACACCAGGTAAGATTAAATTAAAGTCTACCGCATAGCATAGAAATGATTCTTTTCATGTCAACACCTTGGGAGACAGTTCCTCAAAGGACAGTAAAACGTTGGTAACTGTAAAGTTGTCTAGCTTTTTTGTTTTTCTTATTATGGAAGCATATTTATTATTATTATTATTCCTCAATATCCTCATGTCATTATGCAGAGCAGGAAACAAGTTTCCTTTAAAGGCCATATTAAGGAACAAAAAAACCTTCAGTAAACCTTTTAACTTGACCTTGAAATAAAGTTTTACTAAATGAATGCTGAAAACTGAGGGGTTTTGCATTCAGTAATGGCTAACTTTTGAAAGAAAAATACAGTGTTTACATTTGTGGTCAGGAATATTTGCCCTGCAGAGTGGAATGTGCTAAAAAGGAGAAAAGCAGTACTTATTGGATTACTTTTGTTTATTTAATAAAGAGCATATGTAAGTATTAATCTTTTTTCTGACAGAGTAATTTGACATTCAAGGTAATCTGTAAGCTTTTAATATTAAATCATTAAGTTCAGGCAGTTAACAAAATACTTAATAAAACTAACCTGTGCTGGCCTTGAACTGAAAAATACATATTTAATACTCAGTTTTAATCTAATTCAATAAAAATTTCAGTTCTAATTTGAATTGGTTGGGTGTTTGAGGCAGTTATCTCCTAGGGAAGGCTAATTATTATTAGTCCCCACTTCTTGGTGGATTCCAGAGTTTAACCCTAAGGCTTGCAAACTCAGAAACTTTATTGACACCTTGAACATAGGTCCAGTGCCCTTCAGTGCAGGCAGATAAATCAAAGAGGATGGAAAATTAAAAAGCAGAAAGCTAATGTAGTAATTGACATTAGGAAGTATAACTCAAAAAGGCTAAATAACTCATTTTCCTTCCAAAGCACATTGTCTTATGTAGGAAATCTACCTGAAAAGCTAAGTCATAGAAGGTTGCTTGGTGACTATGGCATCAGACCAAGGAAAGTTAGGTGCATACCTTAATAACTGGTATCATTTTATTATGTGGAGACATCTGTCATAGAGACTGGTTTCCCCCTTGTTTTCAGACTAGAACATCCTCTCCCATAAATAACATGAAGAGACCCAAGTTTGCCTATGCATTACTTGCTTTTAGGTGCTTTTTCCCTCTAACTAAATTCCACTCCTATCCCCTCTATTCTGAGATGACCCATGAGCGTTACATGGTTGAGACACAACCTAAGAGCTGTTCGACTGTTATTAAAGTGACTTTACATAACTATGGTACTCCCATCTGTTCTGTTTTGCTTTAACCTGAGAGCATTCTTTTCCCAGCATCAAGTTTGGGACCAAGGGGATAGGGGCTTGGCATCTTGTTCTTCTTTCCTTATACCATCAATACATGCAGCATCTGTTCCGCTAATATAAAAAACCTTATTCAAAACCAAGAGCACATCTTTGTGTACACTTCTATATCTACTTGAGGAAATGATCATACCTTTTTAATGGCATTGCTGGAAATTTACCTATCCCAGGGGTTGGCAAACCTTTTCTGTAAAGGACCAGATGGTAAATATTGTAGGTTTTGTGAACCATAGGTCTGTATCCCCTCTACTTTGTTGTTACAGCATAAGTGCAGAAATAGTGCATAAAACAGTGGGCATGGCTGTATTAGAATAAAACTTTATTTGGGAAAATATGCAGATGGTCACATTTGGCCCAAGGACTATAGCTTAGCAACCTGACCTATAGCATCATTTGCACGCAGTTCAGCATCTGTTCACGTATTCTGTCTTTTTGTAACCTCTGTTGACCTGTATGCTGTGGTTGGTCACAGGTGTAGTTACTTTGGTATCTTACGTTCAGTGTGAAATTCTAGGAACTGCCTTAGGTACTCGGTGATAGGTAACAGTTTCATCAGTTGAAGTTTGGCTACAACAGGAAACCTCATTAATGATGGCTTAATAAAAGTCATATAAAGAAACCTGGAAACCGCATTTTCTAGGTTTGTAGAAGTGGCTTAAAGACCAAGATACAGTCTATCATTTCATTATTGTCAGCGTGTTAGCTTCTTATGTTCATGTTTATTATTTAGTAACAATAAAATGTCAGCCTCCACTCCAGAAGTCACATCCATATTCATGTTCAAGGTAGGAAAAAGGAGTAACAGACCCCCAAATGCATCTGGTCATTTTTATCAGAAAAGCTTCCCAGACTACCTCCCTTTTATCTCTTCCCAAACTGGAATATATGACCAGCCCTAACGACAAAGAAAGCCAGAAGTAAGTACCTTACTTTTCTAGCCTGCTGGGAAGTAAGCAGGGGAGGAGCTGGGGAACAGCTCCTCCTTTGTTGACTTTTGTGTCTGCCTCACTTGGACTACTTAAAGTAGCTTTATTGTATAAATGGTAGTTAACTTTATTACCTGATAGTACTGTGAGCCATGAAAGATCTTACATCCTTTTCTCATTTTTTATTTTTCAGAGTGGTTGGTGATGGTGGCAGTATTTCCAAGGGGAGAATTTGTTCTTTAAAAGCACGAGTAAGATACATACACCTGGATTCTTACGTTGCATGTGTTTGTAAAATAACTATACTTCTGTAACTATCATGACAGTAAAATTTTAACTTCTCAAATTTCCAAAAAAAAGTGTTTACTAAAGCACATTTAATGTGAATATAACTGAGCAGACATTTGTGTCTTCCTGAAACGAGGTGGAAAATTTTGTGCTTAAAGTCAAAACACTGCATATTTAGCATATTTTTTCTAAATGTTTTCAGGGAAGTATGTGTCCAGATAAATAATAACAAAAGGAGCTTTCTTAACTGTAAGCCTGAAATACCAATGAAGGTTAATTTTTTGTTTGGAGATAATGGAAGATTTATATGCATCAGAGTTACTACTACCAATACAAAGCATGGACCCAGCCACATAATGAATATATACCATAAACATTTAAGACCTGAATAAAAGTACTTTGCCTCAGTAGCCTATATTTAGTCTCAATCTCATTCCAACACTTCTTTTCTGTGATTCTTTATAACAAACTTTTGTTGATCAGTACTCCTTGTTGCAAAAACACAGGCAGTTTAGATGCTATGAAAGTGAGACAGTAAATATCAGACCTGGAGTGTAGTGGCTGAATGGAGAGCAAGTGTTGTGGTAACTGGGAACCACCTCCTTGTATCCATGACCTCTGATGTCCTTGGAAAACAAAATTTAGAGTAGAGAATATATGCTTGTAGGCTATTGGGATGAAATATACTCCATGCCGTGGAGTGCAGTAACATTCCAGTGCAAATCTTACTCAGAGAAAAAGAAATTTTAACATTTCCTAGACCATTACCAATTTGAGCTCCTTACCACCAAATCAGTGAGCAAGGTGGGAGGTAAAGGAAAACACTATTTGTAAAAAATAAATCAGTATTGCTGTAGCCTTTGACTTTTGTTCTAGAAAGTACTATTCCATTTCTCCCGAGGAGTCTTGGTGTCACGTGGCTATTGCTCATTGATGAGTCTAGGTTGCCAGATAACTTGGTGGTTGGGATCTTCCACTGTGCAGTATCTTAGGTTAACAGGCAAATACTCAGATTTTGTAAATCATGCATTACAATTAAGGGAAAGCTGAGGCCTAAAAGCTGTCACCAGTGGCTCTGGAAGAAAATAATAAACAACAAATCCTCAAACAGTTGTGACTCCAGACTTTGGATGGCTAAGTGAGGAACCCAGAAAAATTCCTCCTAATTTTAATTAATTTTCAAGGGAAAAATAAATCAAAGGCCTGATGTGACTAAGGAAAGATGGGTAGAGTCATACCTTCCAATATATAACTGGGTATGTAATTACAGTGCTAATGCTAAGTGACAGTGAGGGATGATGCTATCAAATCTGACTACAGGAGCTACTGAATGTCACTTTGTATTCTGCATGTTGCTTCCCTCACCAGATTGCAGGGTAATTGAGGATGTGCCTTAAATGTTTCATCTTCCACAAATCACCTCAATAAATCTAATTTATTGAGGCAGTACAAGCTAATTATTTTTATAATCTTTCACAATGTGTAGTGCTACAATTTGCCCATACGGTGAAAGTCCCTCTTATGTGATTGATTAGGTATTGAAGGCAGTATTCAAGGTAAAAATTGTATATTATCAAAAATATCTTTGAAAATCCCTACAATTGCCAGTAGATAACCTTATGTAGTCCTGTGTATGTAAAGTGTATATGTATAGATTGCTGCATATTAAAAAGCACATTGTAAAACATAATTTCATAATCTCTCTAATGTACTGCTATAATATACTATGTGATGTACTATCATACATTTAGAAGCACTTTTCTAATATACTGTGTAATAATAATAAAGTGCCAGCTTACACTAGTCTAACTAACTGTTCCAATGACCGAGTTCACAGACTCTAAGTGGACATAAATCGTAACCCCACCATAGTCAGTGCTCTGTGAATGTCCGACTTGACTGCGTCTCTTCGGTAGGCAGTACGACACAGTTTGGTGGTCAAAGAATGAAGATTCTACAGCTGGCCTAGCCAGTGTGGATCTCAGCTTTACCACTTAGCAGCTCTGTGATCACAGCCAAGTCATTAACTTCCTAGGCCTCAGTTTCTTCATCTGTAAAGTGGGGGGTAATTAAAGTGCCTGTGCATGAGGTCGTAAGGATTAAATGGGTGAAACATTTAAAGCAGGCAGGACAGAGGCATGCACGTACGTAGTGCTTAACATTGCCATTGCATGGTCACAAGGACTGAAAAAGCACATAAGCCAAGCACTTTCTCTGTGACATGGAGCCAAAGAGTTAATAGCTTTGTAGTGTTCACTAAGGTTACTTCAGGTATTTTTTCAGCTTTGCTTTTTTGTTATTTACCAATTTACTTTACTTTTTCACACTTCTTCCTCACTGTAAAGTATGACACTGGGAGTAGTGGACTTATGATCCACTGCTGGGTGATCCCTACTTATATTTTGCTGTATTTCCCTCCAATCTTCTAATTTTCTTTCCATGGTTAGTATTATGCTTTATATTCTCATTTTCTTCTTAGTAATAGAAGTTACCACCCGTGTCAGCAAAGACTGTGGTAATGAGTTAGATCGTTTCCTGTGGGGGGGACCCTGCTGACACGGTTGTCATCCGTCCAGTGCTTTTGTTCTGCAAAGAGTAGTAAGTTCACCGATGTGGACTGGGCAGCTGTGGGCAGCGGCTCCTGAGCAGCACAGTCGTCCCTAGTGAGCAGCAACTTTAAGTACGCTACATTTATTGTGAATTTTTTTCTGATTAAGGTTATCTTGTAGATTTCTGAGACCTCATTCTCAAGAAATTTAGTCACATAGGCACATGAATAAAAGAATTGTTAGAAAATCAGTTGAGGGGATTATTCAGTTCCCCACTTGGTATTTTGAGGATAAGAGTTTAGAATCCATCCTTTGGTTGGATTCCACCTTTTGAGCAGTGAAATTATTTTGTAATTACTATATATTCTACATAAAGATTCAAATAAAGATTTGATTAAGCCCAACGTATAAAAAGAACCATGCAACTTTTAACTCATAAATTCATTGACACAGTGACTAAAGAAAATATGCTAATGAAATTGTTTTTCTCTTTCTCAGGCCGTCTTGATTGACATGGAGGAAGGGGTAGTAAATGAAATTCTGCAGGGACCGCTGAGAGACATATTTGATAGCAGGCAGCTCATCACTGACATTTCTGGCTCAGGGAATAACTGGTGAGAATATGCTGAATGTAAAAACTGAAGGTTATCTGAACAAAATGAGCCATCTTTCCTGCATTCTAATTAGGTACTGTTGGCATGAAAGCAAGATAGAACTGGCCGTTCCTGACTCTAGGCCTTTCAGCCCATCATCTTTTCCTTGATTAGTGGTGGTGGTGCACAATTCTTGTAAGCCACCTGTATCCTAATGACTTTTTTTTTTTTTTTTTAGAAAAAGATGAATCATGAAATGTTAGTTTACTAAATTCCTCGTTGTAATTGTAAGTGATTCTTGCATAATACTAAATAGTGACTTTTTTTTTATATACTGCTCTCTCAGCAGTATTATTTGACTCTTCAAGTTCTCCAGTCAGTCAGATATAATAGATTTCATACAGACATGCAAGCCAGACAAGTGTCCCAGCATTCAAGCTCACCTTCTTCTCCTTAATAGGAAACAGCACCAAAAATGGTAATTTAAAATTTTACATTGACTTTTTTTGCTTTTTTTTTAAATTAAGTGGTTCCTTGTTATTTGCAAATCTAATATTTATTATTTTAGCTACTTGTAGTCAGCCCCTCAGGTTCATAATGTGTAGTGATAACGTAATTTTACTAAAGCATGAATGTGAATCTTGTCTTCAGGGAGACTCATTTAAGGAGAACTACTTACTAAATAAGTGATTCCACCTGACCACTGCCTGGCTTTCTCTACTTGTTGTATAATTTATTCTATAACTTTTGAGTTACACCTAACTGCATATTGGGGCGGTATCATTCTTATTTTTTAATTCATCATAATGATACCTGCAAATCTGGGCAACCAAAAAAGGCTTGTAGAATATTAGTTTTCTGTGTGCCACTTCATCTAATAATAACATGATATGACCAATGTTTTTTTCATATTGTAAGTAATCAAAATAGGTTAGTTTAAAAATTTTTGTCTTCCTAGTTCACCATTCCACTTTTTCATGAATAAAATTCACTGCAATCAGTTTAAATGGAGATGAGGAAAACCCATGTAACTGAAATACTGTTTTGTGTAATTATACCATAAGAGAAAAATAAGACAAATTGAGGAAACCATAAATATCCATTGATAATGAGCTATCTCAGCAGAATATTTGAGGATAATAAGTATATATGTTAAATTTCTGCCTAGTATTTTTGAGCGTTAATACAATTTATTGATATGAAGCAAGAATAGAATTTACTTAACACAGTAAAAATACTTAAATTCAAGTTTTTCTATAATCTTTCCATTTAGATCAGAAATAATAAAATTTTGAAATAACAAATGCAAGGATTTATTTTTAATCTATATTCTTTTTTCCAGGGCTGTGGGTCACAAAATTTTTGGCAGTCTTTATCAAGAACAGATTCTAGAGAAACTCAGAAAGTCGGCAGAGCAATGTGATTGTTTGCAGTGTTTTTTCATAATACATTCCATGGGAGGAGGTAACGTTGTTCCCTCATTTGCCCATAACTGTGTGAAAGCGAAAGTAGGAATTCATTTTGCAAATGTCTTGTCTCAGAACTATGCTCGGTAAAGGAGAACTGTTAAGAGTTTGTGTGTTTATGAGTGTATGTACCTAACAGCTTTGTTGCTTTTTATGAAATTGTTTCACTATTGCCATTTTTTAAAATTAAGCCCTTTTAAAACTAAATATGACTGAATCTGAAAAAATTTTTTTCTTCTACCTTGAGTTTCTTTTACAAACTTTCCAGCTACATTGTAGAATATGTGAGCTTTTTGGGAATGCTAACTTCCTCCCAAGATTTTGCTTATGCAGTCCTGTATCCTAACTAGAACTAAGTATTTCTGTCATGTTCATTAGGTGTGCTTGCAAAAGAGTATCAGTGCTGTTTCTTTGACCAAGTTGAAACCTTTCTTGTGTCTGACAAGAGAAATAAGTAAAAGACGTCCTTTTAGTCACTCCCCTGAATCATTACCTACATGGAAACTAATTGCCCTGAACTCGAATAAATGGTCTGCATTGCACTCCTTCCAGGGAAGCCTGCACCTTGTAAGGGAAATATTTCAGCCCCAGTGTTCCATGATACAGAAATAGATCATATTTTGCTAATTTCAAAAAAGGATCAGCCAATTGTAAAAGAAAAATTTGCCATGCTCTTTTTCTCCAAACTGAGATTAATGTTGACTTTATATTCAGCAGGTTATATGCAATTGATTTTTTATACAAATCTATTACTAGTATGATAGCATTTTAAAATTACAGTTACAATTTCTGTATAGCCATGCCTTTAGAAGACCACCATAATCATTAAATTACAAAACAAATTTTCTTTATACTAATATAATTTGCAAGTTTGAATACATTTTCCAAAAAAACAAACCAACTTCATTTATAGTTTATTGTAGTGCCTTTTTTAATCCCTATATACTCAAAATCTCAGATTATGCTTTATTCATAATTCACTGAAAATGGCAAAAATAATTTAAATAATACTGAAAGTTAAATATAAAGGTCTCCTTTCCCACATCTAATCCCTAGGTTCTCTTCACAGGCAATCAAGTTTGCCAATGTCTATCCTGTCCGACATTTTCTATGCCTGTTAAAAATGTGTGTGTATATTTTCATATAAATGAAATCATGAAATTCATATTATTCTGTAACTTTTTCACTTTATATCTTTCATGAATGTCTTTCAATCTCAGCTATTTCATAGAATTCAATTGTGTGAATATATAGTTTAAATCAGTTCCTCATTGGTATGTGTTAAATTGTTTATGATGTATAGTTATTACACATAATCCCCAGTGAAAATCTACTGCACCAATCTATGTTCATTCATGCAATGTTAGCTATAGGCAATATTGCTAGAAAGGAAAGTGAGACCAAAGAATATATGTATTTTAAATTTTGATTGATATTACTAAATGTCAACCTACGTTACTGCACCAATCCATATTAGCAACAATTTATAAGAGTTTATTCCCCACAGTGTCACCAATATTGAGTATTATGACATGTAAGTCTGTCAAAATTATATTTAGTTTGCATTACTTAGAAGGTTGAGCATCCTCACATCTTTTTGCCATTTGATTATGAGTTACATATTTACATCCTTTCCCCATTTTTCTGTTGCATTATTCATATTTTTTTGTTTGTAAGGTTAAAAACAAGGAAAAAATATCCCTTTCATCTTAGTATTTTTAACATAGCCTTTTAATATTAATCTCTAGGGGTTAGAGCACTGGATTTTAAACTTCTTTTTCCCATTTTTTTCATCATCCAGTTTTTTATTGGAATACAACGAAAAACCATTAGAATGGTTTCGGGCATACAGCATAGTGATTTGGCGATTATGTACTTTCCTAAATGCTCACCACTATAAGTGTAGTTACTATTTGTCAACATACAATGGTATTACAGTATTATTCCTTATGCTATACTTTTATCTCTGTGACTAATCTGTTTATAATTGGGAGTTTGTACCTCTTTAGCCCCTTCACCTATTTCACCCACCCCTGCTCCCCACCTCCCCTATGGCAACCGTCTGTTCTCTGTTTATGAATCTATATAAACTTTTTAAAAAATGAGAACAGCAAAAAAATACATTTTACATCACAACCCAACATCTACAAACACACAAACTGGGAAAAACACTCAGGAAACCTTACTCAGCCATGCTGCATTGGACACAGCGATGCTTCCTTTGTTTGATTTAAGAAAAGAAAATACTGGTCCTAATCTAGCAGTTTCACAACCCAGAGTTTGAAAAACACCAGGTTAGAGGATTCCAGTTTCTCTAAGTTCTTAAAAACTTATGAGTTTATGTAAACGTACCTCTGTGTCAGAAAGCTATGTGAGTGGGACTCCCAGAGTTTCTGCTTTTTAAAAAGACAGTGAAACAGTTTCCCATTTGAAAATTTTGTACATTCAGGGTGGTCACGCTTAATTTTAAATGACTTTAACTCAGGGCTTAAGTTGCTTCATGTCTTAATAGTTCTTCATTACTAAGGTGGTGTGTGTACATATATATATATATGTATACATACATACACTACACCAAAATGTCAAGATAGTTTGGTTTTAAGTTGCTTAACATCAAGTGTAGGCTAAGTACTGACTTGAATTCTTCACTCTTCAGTAAGTTCTTTTGACATCACATAGATGTAACTTAAATGTGAAAAAAAGTAAAATACAGAAAGCCCTGCCAGCCTCACAGTGAGACCCAGAAACGGAATTCAGGACTTTAAGCCTCACTACCTTTGTCGGCTTCATTTCCATATCTGATATTAGATTAGCTAATACATAATCACAGGAATATGTCATATTCTGAACCATTTATGCTGTTTTCTTTCTGAAATCTTAATCCTTAGGAACAGGATCTGGACTCGGCACATTTCTTTTAAAGGTGCTTGAGGATGAATTCCCAGAAGTTTACAGATTCGTGACTTCAGTTTATCCTTCAGGTGAAGATGATGTCATAACGTCGCCTTATAATAGCATCTTGGCCATGAAGGAACTTAGCGAGCATGCACACTGTGTGTTGCCCATTGACAACCAAGTAAGAAATGGCATTGAAATTTATGTAAATTATGTATGTAATTTATGTCTTGTTAATGCTATGTGTCTCTATGAAATACCTTTTCACTTTTCAACCTTCCCATCTAAGAGAAAAAATAAGTTCGAATTGTCTTTCTCCTTTTCTTCCTGGTAGAATGTCATCTGTGTCCACTTTCCTTAATAGCTTTTCTCCCAATGTTTTCCCCTTAAAAGTCCTTATTTGACATCATTAGCAAAATTGACCTTATGGTGAATTCTGGCAAGTCGGGTACAACTATAAAGCCAGCCAGTCTGGTGACTTCAAGCACTGGGACGTTTAAAAAGCGGCAGAAGCCATTTGATGCGATGAACAACATCGTGGCAAACCTGCTGCTCAGCCTGACAAGGTAACCCTGCTGGCAGTGTGCTCAGCACAGTTCAGAAGCCACTGTGGTGTGGGTGGTGCTTTGCCATACCATTTGCTGCTTATTCTAAGCTAGGAGCTTCTTCTTATTTTATTTTGTCTAGTGTTTTCAGATCTTGGAGTGACAGACCAGAATTCTAATTCTGGTCTCTCCATACAAGCATTTCCCCAGGTGTAGTCCACAGAATACTAATAGGCATTAATGATAAAAGATGTGCTGGTGAGTACCAGCTAATCTAAACATTCTCATTAGTTGGTCTAAAGTATTTCCTGGAATTTGATCTGAAAGATTGCTTTGGCATTATTATATTCCAAATTATAGAGCATAGTAAACAGACCCTTGAGGAATTTGGTAAAGTTTACAGAATACTTAATTATTGCATATGTTAAATTATTGCATATGTTATAATTGCAGATGCATATTGCATACTGCATGTTAAACCCAATCTAAAGTATGTTTTAAGATATTTTTATACGTTTAATGAGCAGCTGAAAGAGTGTATTGGTTATACTTCGGGTTATCCAGAAATAAGAATTGCTATATAGATGTTGTGTTATATTTTAATTATCTTTACACGATACATGTTCATGATTGTAAGTTTCGCTAATATAGAAAAGAGCATATATTCTCTACTGAAGAACAGTGTATGAAAGGATTTCAGAATGCCTTCTAAATAAAGTTACAAAGTGTATAGTTTAAAATTAAATTTTGTTCTCATGCTTTAAATTTTTTAGCTCTGCCAGGTTTGAGGGGTCCCTTAATATGGACCTTAATGAAATCAGCATGAATTTAGTTCCTTTCCCTCAACTGCATTATCTGGTGTCAAGCCTAACACCTCTGTATACACTGGCAGATGTGAACATTCCTCCTCGAAGGTAAGGCATAGTAACTTCATTCAAGTTACTTGAGAACTTGAAATATTAAAAAAAAAAAATCTTTGAGAGAAAAGTTCGTAATAATTCTAGTTATTTTCTTCATTAGAAACATAAAATACAATTGATAACAGCCATTTTTCCATTATACGAATGCTGCTTTACTTAGAAGTCATTGTTTAAAAATGTTAATGTTAAACTATTTGAAATGTCTAATAACTAAATTTTTAAGCTTAAGAAATGAAGGTATGATTTTTATTGAAAAAGATTCACAGGCTTTTAAGTCTGACAACTTTAAGTCTGAATCCTAGTTATATTACTTCATAGCTACAAGACCGTGGGCAGGTGACAAACTTCTCGTTTGGTTTAACTCATCTGTAAAAATGAGAGTCAGAGCACCCATGTCACACACTTTTTGGGTGTTAAGTTAGAGTATCTTTTAAAGCTGTTGTCACAGCCCTGCACTAGAAAGCTTTCAGGGGTTACTCTGTATGGCACTTTATATGTCATTTCCAGAAAACTTTGTTTTGTAACCATCTGTCATTTTAAAGCATAAAACATATATTGATTTACTTTACAAATGTAGTTGAAAGATATTCTTCACATATACAGTGACACAGAGCTTGGAAAGGTCACACTGCCACTCAGAGTTGGCTGGGGGACAAGCTCCAGTCAGATTCCAAAAGAGCAAAGTATGTAATGGTAAAGTAAAACCTAGATTAAAGGTCTCGTCTGTAATTAGTTTTGGTGAGATGACAGTGCTGCTCTGAGGGGCTATCACGGTGATACCCCGTTTCCTGCTGAACCCTTGGAAAACCTAACTAAGCATTTTATGTGCACAGATGCTCTTTTCCTTTTTCTTCTTTAAAGGTGGAAAAAATGAGGCCATGACATTTATATCTTCCTGTAAAAAGACAAAAACAGATGGCCTCCATTTCTCTTTAATCCTTGCCTTTTTTTTTTTGGTGTTACCCACATTCTTAAATGCTCACCCCATCTAATGCAGTTACTGTTTGTCAGCATAGAAAGACATTACAGAAGCATTGACTATTCACTTAAAAATCTCCCTTTTCCAGGAACACCTACAGAGTTTCAGATTTCATAGGCGAGCCAAACATTGCCCTTTTAATTAAGAATTGACCTCTTAATTATTCTTAACTAATTTACGATAAATTCTACAAAGTAATCTTAATGTAGGCTTTTAATTAGTTTTGACAGTTCAGAGGTAGATAACTGTACTGATCAAAGTAATGACAATTTCAGAAATCCGTACTACCCAGAGCTCACGAATGGCACTTTCGTATCTTCCAGAAATCACCAATATATTGCAGAGCTTCTTATTCCATTAAAAACAGAAGATATTGTATGATTTCCTCCCTTCTCATTTTTGTCATCAAGGTTGCTTGGATAAGTGATAGCTGAGATTTAGAACTTAGTATTTGTGTGTCGAGTTTATATAGATATATAAACTTACTGATAGATGACTATCTTTTCATTTTATAGTTACACATAGAAAAGTAACATTTTGTATAAACAGTGACTCGTGTTTCTAGGTTGGATCAGATGTTTTCCGATGCCTTTAGTAAAGATCACCAGCTAATGCAGGCTGACCCCAAACACAGTCTTTACCTCGCCTGTGCCCTCATGGTTAGAGGAAATGTACAGATCTCAGATCTTCGCAGAAATATCGAAAGGTTTGATTCTATGTTTTTCAAGATGTGTTGTGTACTGCGTGTAGTAGTGTAGCACGGTAGTCAGGGCAGCCCCTCTCTACATTCAGGTAATGCCACTTCAAGTGTGACAGGCAAGCTACTTAGCCTCTGAGCCTCATTTTCTCAAGTGGAAAATAAGAATAATAGTAGTTATTTATGAGTATTGAACGTTTTATTTTCTGAAAGTTCAGAATATGTAACTGCTGTTCCTGTAATCACCACCAGTGCTACCCCTGCACTGCGCTAAGTTTGTTTTACTGTTTACTGATGGTCTATTTTTAGGAAAACTGCTCTATTGAATTACAAAGTAAGGAGAATTACGCTTTCTCTTTTTTTCATCCCGATTTCTAATGTTACGGAATCTGTTCCTGGCTTTTTGTATCCCCAGTCACAGCCGACGTACTGTCCTCCTCCTCAGAGTTCAGACTGTACCACGATACTGCCGACAATAAAAATAGCTTACATCATAGACTAAGCAATTGGAATAGTACAGCCAGTAACATCCTGCTTTCACTAATGTGGTCTGCCCCAAAATGGCAAGTGTTTTTAGTACCTTAATTCTTACCTTTGAGTTTTTTATCTCAGATTAAAACCTTCTCTGCCATTTGTCTCCTGGAACCCCGACGGCTGGAAGACCAGCCTGTGTCCAGTGCCGCCCGTGGGCCACTCCCACTCACTGTTAGCCTTAGCAAATAACACTTGCGTGAGGACTGCCTTCATAGAACTGAGAGCGCGATTCATGAGGCTCTACAAGAAAAAGGTAATTATCAGTATACCTTCCCAACTACATGTGTGCATGCTAATCACACAGTTACAACCCTGCCTGCCATGTTCATTGTACTTATTATCACTGAAGAGGATAGGACTACTCAGACTATCTCAATGAGAAATCTCATAAATTTGTATGATTTGAGTCCTCATTTCTCTTGTAAAGTTGAGTGAACTATCATTTTAATGAAGAATATTTACATTATAGGATAGTAGTATGTATTACATTTCTTGAAAATGGTCAACATTATCCAGTTTTTTATTTATAGGCTCATCTTCATCACTATCTACAAGTTGAAGGGATGGAAGAAAGCTGTTTCACAGAAGCTGTGTCCTCTTTATCAACACTCATACAGGAATATAACCAACTGGATGACACAAAAAGCATGCCTATAGAAGATTTACCTAGACTGACCATAGCTATGTGACAACAGAAATCCAGAAATAGTTTTTACTTTTTCTTAATTTCATATTGTTTTTTGGTCACCTTACCTTTCTTGTGATTCAGAAAGCCCAGTTTGTGTTTTTTGTTTTAGGAAGTATTTTTTTCTAAAAGAATGGTTTCCATGTAATCATAATTTTCTTATGTTGCCAGTGTGTGAAATGAGTGAAGTCCTAGTATCTTCTTCAGACATTTGTCTTCAGGAAGTTCCCCTTTTCTAAAATTGAGAGAATAGAGTTCTTCAACATTTTGCTTTATTTATCATCTTGTATTTAGGCATATTTTATAGTGACAATCGTATCTTCAATAAAAATCTTATACAGATGTATATTTATGTTTATTGATAATTTATGTTTTCATACTCTATGTATGAGTCCAGAATTCTGATTCTTCAAAAGTATGTACAGGTTGTAGAACACAATATAAATACTTGTCTGTGTATCCAGGAACGTTCAGGACAGGTTTTATGACAACTATTGAGACTTTCTTCTTGGTTAACAGCTTGTTTGCACCCAGAAGAATAAAAAAAATTTACATTTAACATGTATTTGTATTAAATTACTTTACCAATATAATGCTTTCTTTTAAATCAAACCAGTTGATTTTTTAATAATGTCCACATTTTTAATTAATGCTACTTATTGTTTGCTAGTCACCATTTACACAAGCAAACAACATTAGTAAGCATGATACTTTCTTTCAACTTTGCAGTAAATCTATAATCTAGTCAAAGTGTTTCATTTACTATAATTTCATTTTATTTCTTTAAGATTAATTTATCCTTAATCACAATTTGTATTTCAAATCCATAGGTAGGTTTATCATTTAAGGAAGTAATTTTTAGGAACAGTTTATTTTCAAGCCAAAACAATCTGTGGTATGCTTTCTTCATTGTTATGTTTTTTAGGTTTCTTTTAAAAGTAAGTATACTGCTCTTGGTCTTTATCTTGGAAAGATAATTTTTTACAGTACTGGTATCAAAAATTTTAGATTACAGTTATCAACAGTGGCCCAAAGAGTTATCTTTTCTCCTTCCAAAAGATACCTTCTAAATCAATATTTAGGATAGGGAAATGGAAATTATAAATATATTTATTGTTTAATCTTATTACTACTTAAGGTTTAAAACAGACTCTTGGTCACCCTATAATGATTATCTGAAAAGAGCCTAGGCTATATATCAAAGTAGAGATAAAGTTTTAAAAATGTAAGCTTTTCACATATCTTCAACAAAGTATTCCAGATTATTTTACAGAATAAAATGTTTCCTTGTGAATTGTATGATTTTTCCATTATGTATATGGAATACATAGAATCAAGTATCTGCATTATACAGGTATAAGATACATTTTAAAATAAACATTCAATTTTAAGGTTTTCAAATTTACATACATTTTTAGAACTTTCTAAAAGCTTCTAATGCCTTTAATACAGTCATCTGAAAATACGTAGGCATTCTTACTGTTTTAAACCAATAAAGTAGATTTATCACCTTTTAAACCCATTCTAAATTTTTTTATATAATGACATGGTTGCAAAACAACTTTTCCCACATATGCGTAGTTTCATAGGATTTTAAGCTCAGAAAATATATCTCCTGGATCTCTGCAGTTTCTCTGACATACACAAGATGTAATCCACAGCATGTTCCAGTTAAATGACCCTTCATTTGGGCATTCAAATTGAACAGTTACCATTTTAGACTTATTAGGGACACAGCATCTCTTATCCAAGCATATCCCACAGAAAGTGGGTTTGTAACTCTGAGTGCTTGAGCATCCTGAAAAGACAAATTTTTCAGCCTTCAAGAGCTGGAAAGTGGGTTGGCACGTTTTTCCTTTGGGGATCTGAAAAGATATGTAAGTTATTTTTAAAGTTTGATTATAATAGTTTAGGAAAGTGATCTTAATAGAACATTTTATAACACAAACATAGGTAAAATAATTTTCAGGGCATTAATCGTAGCTGCTTAGTGACTTCAGCACCCTCTTTCCTACCTTTAAAATCCTCTCACCAGAGATCTGTCCTGCCTGTTCTTGTTCCACAATATTAGACTACTCTCAATGATTTTTGCTAGCTGCCTTTCGGTTAGTTCTACAATAAACGAAAATCTGTTCTGTTTAATATCAAGGGCCATGTCCTACCTAGCAAATTCCCTAACAGCTCAGTTTTGAGTGAATGAATAAATGGATGAATACCTTAATCCCTTTAAAATTGTATTGTCCTAATATGACACGTAATAACGGGCAAAAGAAGGGTTTTGTAGTGTTTCTAAACTCACTCTTGAGGCTGTCATCTTGCCTCATTCTGGAAGCAGGACCAGCTCTGGTTATACGCAGCAATGTTATTCTATTACAATCCTTTGGCAAGTTTACTGTCTAAGCACAAAGCATTTTGAAAACGGTGTGGTTCTACCTACAAGTTGGTGATAAATAACTAAGGTCAGAACTCTTGAACAAAATGTGTTTTATAATTACGTAATAACCAAATTCTTATCCATTGCTTTGACTCTACTACATAAAGTGAACACAGGAAAAAGATGTCAGATCTGAGAGGGATCTACTCTTAGCATGGTAGGTAGTAGGGTGCCACAGCGCATCAGGCCTCTCAGGACCCACACTAGTAAGCTGTTCGGGTATCTAGAATGAACAGCTAACACTGCCTCTCTGCTTGGTAAAATTTTCCGCACAAAGTGCAGCTAACAAAGTAAGTATCTGCTTTCTCTGAGGTATTTTGACCTTGTGAGTTATAATGTGATTTTATAAGAACCACTGTCCATCTCTCTAAAACACATTCACATGCATTTTTCAGGAATCTCTTAATACTGAATTACAATGAAGTTAAATCTATTTATACTTCACCTTTACTATTTTTGATATCTTACTGTCACAAGGCTGAATATAACACAGTCTTTTCTCATTTCTCATTTCACAGTTGCTGTTCTCGTTGGTCACCCTGTTAGATATTCCCATCCCACAGGTCCTGGAGCAAGGTGTCCACTTTGTTGCTTGTACAAGACATTCTCTTTTCCAAATAAGTGGGAGATTCCTATAAGCTAAAGTAAAGGAGGGAAAGGACATGTGTAGACTTACATATATATACTCGTGTAGATAGAAAATTTTTAATCATGATTTTTAAGTTATTTAATATATCTGAACCCTTATTTTTAGATAATGTAATTCAGAATAAAATAAGCCTATGGTCTAATTCAAAATTCTGTCCTTTTCCCACTCCCTGAATTGCCTTTCAGTCAAGTGTGACAGTCTATTTCTTGGGAGGAATAAAATAGTTTCTTTGAACGAGTAAATGTGCCCATTAGCCTGTTCTCTGAGTACTAAACTTAAGTGTAAGTACTGGGTACTTGCCTTTTCTCTGGCTCTTACCTCATGCTTGATACCATTTCTAACAGTCAATGAAACAGACACAAGTAGGTTTAGGGAATTCAAGATATTAATCAGAACATTGTGGTCTAAATGTTAAATTTCATGACACATTAAAATCTAAAATACAAAGGTTGTATTTGAGAATTAGACTATTAAACCAGTTATTCCTGCCCACAACCCCCACCCCGACCACCAACCAATCTATTTTTTTGGAAAACTCTATACTGAAATTGTCTAAATGATCATACACTAAGTCATGACAACTATGTAACCTGTTCTCTTCATTCAGCTTAATTTATATTCCCTATGGTATCAGGTCTGTGGTTATTATCCCCATTGGCTTAGCTATCTCAAGTCACTTAAAAAAAAAGACTGGGGCATGAATAGATGAGATGGATGGATCTCTGGTAGGTGGGTAGATAAATGGAGGCACCTCTGCTGCCTGGGCTTGGGAGAAACAAAGGGAAGGTGGTGAACACTGAGAATATAAAGGAGGGTATGATCTGACACCCCCTTGTCAACCCACTGGGAGCTCCTTGTTCTCATAAATAAATCTACCCTTTAGTTCATTTTAAGCAAACTGCATATTGGTTTACTGTCTTGGCATTTCCTTAAGGTTAATATGCATCCTAAATTGGATGCTTTGGGAATAAGGTTGGTGATTTGTGTCTGCAGTTGAACAGAGCAAAAGTGTGGCTACATTACTCCTAAAAGTCAATTTTTTTAACTCTAAAAGAGCCCCCAAATGCCTTCTTGATAGGAAATGTCAGTCCCTTTGAAGTACATGCTGTCTTTGTGTACAATGGCTACCGCTCTCAGTGTTATTGAGGCAGAACCTTGCATTTGCACAGACAACGGAGGGAGAGGAAGCAGAAATGTGAAGATACCTGGAAGGCAGGCAACAGTTTAAATACCTCAACGCAGGAAGCACATTAAAAGCCTTGCATGCATCTGCAATAAATAAAGGTATGTTAGATTATCATATTACCAATTACCCCACTTAAAGTTAAGCCAAGAGCTGCAGCTCAGGAATTTGTTTAACATTCATTAAAAAGAAAGAAAATGAGAAGAGATTTTTAAAGTAGAAGTTCAGTGTTTGGTGAGCAGTGAGAAAGCATACAGGGTGTGATGTCACTGCATGCATCACGCCAACCGAGCAGAAGCCGGACTCCGACTGCAGACTGTCTGCAGTTAACTGAACATACAAATTACTACCACAAGTGTACCTGAAGTGTTTGTCACTGTGCTTAATTTTAAAAGCCAAACTCCTCTTTGGGCTCATAAATACAGTTTCACAGTTAAGTGGAGGATAGACATTAGGCTGGACGTATACTTTCTTTGAAATATCTAGACCTAATATCTCATTTACAGAGAGCACTTTGAGAGATTCTGGTTTTTGGTAGTAAAGTCCTAACCACCAGGAATGACCATCTGACACCTGCGGCCAGGTTCCCAGCGAATCCACGGCAACTGCGGTAGCTACACCAGGAAGACCAACTTGAACTTGGCCCCAGGGCTCTCCAGGGGAGCCCACTGCCTGGGGAGGCTCATGCCTGGGGAGGCTCATGCCTGGGCTCTGAGCACTCCCGCGGAGCCCCACAGATCCACTGCAGTTTTTACATATCTGAAACTCATTTCTCTGATTATAGTTCCTTTTATTACATTTCCACATAAGTGAACTTGAGAGTTTTTAGCACAATAAATACTCCTTCCATATTTCCATGGCACCTTTCATTCACTAAGACCTAAATTTCAAAAAAAGGCATTCTTGATTTTGGGTGAAAACAGAAATGTGAAAAATAACCAGGCATCAATATCAAGTCCTTCCTCAAGTGTGGTTTATTTACTGGTGTTTTTTTAAATTCTGTCCCTAGAATGCCCTGGCACTTAAGTCAGATGCTGGCTTAGAGAGGCCAGAGTACAAGGCCTATGAACACACTGACTGAATCGCCAGGTGCTCAAGATGAGTGACAAAGTGTCTCACGACACATTCCTGACTACATTCGCACCTCTGTAAGCCCATTTTACAATGCCTGTGTGTGTGTGATTTAGAGAAAGAGAGGTGGTAATCGCACAGCTTTATTTTCAGGGTGAATGAAAGGATACTTTTATATCACCAGTGTGCTATTTTTTGAGCAAATTCAAACCATTTCCTCAAATATTTTTAATCAGTAGCCTTCCATTTCTGCTTTTATCATGTAGAAAAGCTGCCTTTGAAAAGTTTGGGAACGGAGTGGTTCACACTTCTTACCCATAATGTAACAGTACAAATAAGAGTTTATCCAGGGTACATGTGAACAATATTTGGTGCATTTGTAGTAAGATTTGAAAAGAGTTTTTCTGACCTAGTAGAGCTTTTAATTTTAAATACTGGGATATTTTACTAGAAAGATCTAAAACATTACAGTTTACCTTTCAGATGCTTAGAATATACCTCTTGCGGCAGGGACTGAGTAAGTGACAGCCAACCTCACACTGACCACTGGCCAGAGGTATCTGCTGAGTGCGTGTCGCATGTAAAAGGAATGGGAAAGAAACCACAAGAAGTCACGCATGAAAAGCAGCTGTACTCAGGAGCACCTGGCATTGTTTTGTAGCTTGTTGAAAGCTGCCGTTGGAACGGTCTCAGGCCACAGTTCGATCGATCAGACTTCTTCCCACCTCTCGCCCCAGAGCAGGGACTGTCAGCCAGCTTCGGTATGAACAGAGGTGTGCATCCAATGGCCCCACTCACGCAGAGGCAGCTAAACAGGGGACTGGGCTGAAACTCTTGGCCGTTCCGGTAATGCACCCTGTTGAACTCACATCCCACAGCTACGAGGTCTGAAAAGAGATGCCAAAGAAGCCAGAACTGGTAGTCTGAGACTGCCCGTTACAAACCACAGAGGCAACAGCTATCCTATTTATGAAGTATAATTCCCAATTTCTTAGGCCCCACTTGGAAGGTCCTTCACAGTACCTTCACATGTAAAAGGTTGAGAATGACGCATCTCCGAAATGGTCACTTTCAGAATTCGGATCAAGTACGGGCCCTGTTCTGGAGTAAAGTTGATTTATAATCACTATGAGTAATGAATGGATAAAGAAGCTGTGGTATGTATACACAATGGAATATTATTTAGCCATAAGGAGAAAACAAATCCTACCATTTGCAACATGGATGGAGCTAAAGGGTAGTATGCTCAGGAACAAATCAGCAGCAGACTCAGAATCCAAGAAGGAACTAGAGGTTACCAAAGGGGAGGGGGAAAGGATTAAAGGGCATTATGATCAGCACATACAATTTAAGGGGGTCACATGGAAGGTGGTACAGCCCGGAGAAGACAAGTAGTGACTCTATAGCATCTTACTACGCTGGTGGACAGTGACTGTAATGAGGTGTGGGGGGAACTTGATAATATGGGTGAATGTAGTAACCACAATGTTGCTCATGTGAAACCTTCATTAGATTGTATGTCAATGATACCTTAATTAAAAAATAAAATAAGTAAAATCACTGTTAATATACTGGTGAGATAACGACTGTAAATCTGAGAGATGCCTGGTGGGTGGGGAGACCCAGGTTTCCCCACATGTTCAACAATAAGCCGGGACATATTCTTTGGAAGTTGAATAGATGAATGGCTGAAGAACTTGTACTCTTTAATGACTGTACTGCACAGCACCTGATTTTTTTGTTAAGATAATCGGAGGAAACTCACTTCCTCTGAGATGTATTCTTGACCCAGGTCAGCAGTTCTCAAAGTGTGGCCCCTTGCCAGTACCTGAGGCCCTTTCAGATCCTCAAGGTCAAAGCTCTTTTTCAGAAATCTAAGCCATGGCTGACTTTCCCACCGTGTTGGTTTTGCACTGATGGCACAAAGCATTGGTGGCTGAGACTGCTTCTGGCACCTTGGCGTCAGTCAAACTGTACAGGTCAGTCACTGTATTTTTCCTTGCCATGCACATGGACTTAAAAGAAGCTGTTTTACTTAAGAATGTCCCTGATGACAGTAAAAATGACTGATTGTATTAAATCTTAACTATCAAATACCTATCTTTTTAATATCCCATGTGACAACACATGAACTAAAATACAACATTTCGGTAAGTTCTGTACCGAGGGCAGTCATCACCTGAAGAAAAGCACTTGTGCTGGGGTCTGAGGTATAGGCCGGATTGGCCACCTCACTGGGAATTTCACCTGAGGAGGTGACTCACAGGTAAACCGTGGTCAGTCACACCTGAGTATCTGGCAGGCAACCTCCTGAACATCAGGAGCGGGCCTGGCACTTCAAGGGAAACAACAGAGTGTCTGTTGCCAATGATAGAATTCAAGGTGGCAAGCAAGAATTAGAGTCCTGGGTAACCTGTATCCGCCTTTGAGATCTTTACAGCCACCCAGTAGGTAGACTTTTCTGATGACACTGGTATTGATTTATATGACTTTGAAAAAATACTGCATAATTGAGGGTATCAACGTCTGAAACACCTACAAACCCTCGTTCTGCACGGACAGCCTCGTGGTGACACGCAGGGACCGCACACCCGCAGGAGGGGAGGACCTGTTCCTGAGGGGAGACCTGGGTGTTTCAGTGCCACAGAATCTGACGACTCACAGATGTGGTTTCAGAGTCCATGATGGAGCTGCTTTTTAAGAAACTACCAGTTCAAGTTTTAATGTAATATCAAGTTTTAATGTCAAAAAAGATTATTTACAATTATCTGAAAAGTCTGTTAAAATATTCCTTCCTTTTCCAGTGGCATTACCTGTGTGAGTCTGGATTCCCTTCATATATTTCAACAGATTGAAACAGAAGCAGATGTGAAAATCTAGCAATCTTCAGTTAAGCTAGGCATTATTGAGATTTGCAAACGTAATGAAACAATTCCACTCTTACTAAATTTTTCTGTTTTGGGAAATAAATTTTTTTCATAACATTATTCCTGTTGATTAGCCATGGGTTTGTTATTTTTAAATGAATTAGTAAATATTTTAAAATTTCTAATCCATTCAATACTAACAGACATAAACAAAAGCTCTTTTGGTCCTCATTAATTTCTAAGACTAAAGAAGTCGTCTTCAGACCAGAAAGTTTAAAAACCATTGCTCCACATCATAGATTAGCACATTTTCTATAAAGGGCCAAAGATAAATATCTCAGCCTTTACAGACCACCAGTGTGTATTCTGACCACTGCGGACTTGCTATTGGAAAGCAGCCAAAGGCTGTATGGCACCGAGTGGGTGTGTTCCAGTAGAGCGTCCTTTACAGCAATGGGCTGTGAGCTAGATTAGCCTCTGGGGGACCAGTTTGTGACCCCAGTTACAGAGGATCTCCACCTGCACCCTCAGTCTGGGCCCTGCTGAAATACCCATCACACTGCATGTGAAGTTAGCTATGGAAAGATGTCTGACATGATGAGCTGACGGTGAGGGTGGGGCTGGTATCCTACACACACCTCCCCGCTGTGTTCCCAGGTCACAGGGGAAGCTCACTAAGTGTGAACTATGGGTGGAATAACTTGCCCTGACTTGGAAAAAGGAGTGTCCTGAATGCCAGAGTCAAATACGTCGTGTTTTCCCTGTGGAATTTCCACAAGTAGCTAACATTTTTGAGAGTCTACTGCATACAGATATTGTGCTGGTGTTTTGGGTTTTGTGTCACTATTTCATTTGATCCTCCTACCAACTCTATAAAATAACAAGTACACGTGATGTAACGGAGGTTCTGAGAGGTTAAGCAACTCCATCACTCAGCAGCTAGAGCCCAGAATGGGAGCCTACGTTCTTAACCAATGTAACGGTGCTGATAGAGTCATCAGGCTATCAGGCTTGCACAGCTCTGTGCATTCAGTCCTAATCCAAAGACTTGCTCACGACCAAACTGGTAGATATTTGCCTTCCCAGTTGGACTTCCCTATAGAGTGACTAAAATGCCCAGCTGACCCAAGTATTTCCCTTCCCCTAGAAATTTTATTTTTAATCCTAGATAAATTAGCATCCTAAACTATTGTCACGGTGTCTCCAGAGCTAAGCCCTGTAAAGCTGAAGGTCCAGTTGTGATCTGAGGCACCCTTACCATATTTTTTTTTTCCTTAACAAATCTGCTTCAGCAAAAAGTACAAAACCTTGATGGTTAGTTCAGAAGCTACAATTAAAGCAGTATGTCTGAATATTTGATATACATCCTTATATTTTAAGCAAGATTACTTTTTAGTTACAGAAAAGGCTGAATCCAGATTGCTTCTTACAGTACTTACAAAAGCTGTCATTTTGGGGCACTTCAAGAAGTCCGACTTTACATAATTTCTCCTATTTTTATCATTAAAAGCAATTACCTGAGGAGCTGCAGGACCACTTCAATGCCAAAAAAATAGTCTAAATGTGTCAACATCTGCTCGTTTCACATGGTGCCTGCCCAGTGTGATGAGGCCAGCCCACTGGTGCATAAAAACTAAACCGACCTCATATTTAGCCCAACTCAGCTGGTTATTCCAAATTAACAATTGCAGAAAAAGCATGTCTAGACTCAACCGTTCTGGAGGTCCAGAGTCACTTACGTGCACACACTCCGGTCTCGAACCGAGGCCTGTCTGCTGAGTAGTCACAGTACAGCCCTTTGTGGGGGTCGCAGAGGTCAGCTTCATTGCAGAAGTCCCCTGGTTGCTTGGCACAGATTCTACAGCATCCACAGCCATCCCTCACGGAGCTCACACCAGGGGGGCAACGGGGCTTCTCCAGAGGGCATTCACAGGGCCAGTGGCAGAACTGTTTGCGGGGGGGCACCGGCGATACCTCCCCAGGCCTGCCTTCAGGTGTTGTGCCCGAGGGCCCAGCGCCCTGTGCCCTGCAGCAGAACTTCATTTGATGATAAAAGTGATGTTAGAAATGACTCCTCAAACTCATTTCAGAGGTTCTAGAGAACCAGACCACCCCGCAGACTGGAGGATACAGTGTGGTGAGCTGCAGTGACAGTCCGCATCAATCCCTCCCCCTTGACCTGCTCTTTGCCCCACTTCCAACACGTTGGGCGCTCACTCCTTGGTAACTGATTGATCCTCTCGGTCTCTGCTAGTTTCACCCTCTGAACATCGGAGCCCCACGGTTAAGCCCTCTGACATATCTCGAACCTCCCACGCCGACCTCTCCCCATGAACTCAGGCACCTGACAGGCACAGCGACCTTAACGGAACCAAGAGTAAAGTCACAGCTTTCCTTCCGATCTACTTCTTCGGGAATGTCCCTGTCTGAGCAAACGCCAATTTCATTTTTCCAAATACTTTGGAATATTCGGAAATGAAGGTAATTTCTGACTCTTCTCTCACATTATATGTACATCCAATCCCATCAGTAAATTTTGTTGGTTACATCTTTAAAATGTACCCACTCTATTCCTGTCTTAATATTCCCACTGTTACCACAGCGACCCAAGCTGCCAATATTTTTCACTTAGATGATGAGAGTCTCCCAAAGGTTCTCCTTGCCTCCTGCTTTGTCCTCTGTATTCTCCAATCAGCAGAATGATTTTTAGTTTATAAAAGTGGCAAAAATAAACAAGTGGGACTACATCAAACTAAAATCTTCTGCACAGCAAACGAAATAATCAACAAAATGAAAGGTCAACCTACTTAATGGGAGAAAATATTTGCAAACTTTATCTGATAAAGAGTTAAAACCCAAAATATATCAGGACCCATACAACTCAGTGACCAAAAAACACCCCAAAAGAACCAAATAACCAAGTAAAAAATGTACAAAGAAACTGAATAGGCATTTCTCCAGAGAAAATATACAAATGGCCAATGAAAAGATGCTCTGCATCACTCATCAGGGAAATGCAAATAAAAACCACAATTAGATACCACCTCACACCAATTAGAATGGCCACTATCCAAAAGACAAGAAATGACAAATGTTGGCACGGATGGTAAGAAATGGGAACCTTCCTACACTGTTGGTGGGAATGTAAACTGGGGCAGCCACTGTGGAAAGCCGTATGCAGGTTCCTCAAAAAATTAAAAATAGAAATACCATACAACCTAGCAATCTCACTTCTGGGTACTTATCCAAATGATTTGAAATCAGCATCTCAGATACCTGCACTCCTGTACTCACTGCAGCTTTACGCACAACAGGCAAAATACGGAAATGACCTCAATGTCCACCCATCGATGAACAGATTAAATGTGTTAAATGCAGACAACACAATATTATTCAGTCTAAGAAGGAAATCCTGCCACTTGCAACATGATGGATGAACCTGGAGGACACTATGCTCAGTGAAATAAGCCACACTTGGAAAGACAAATACTGTATGATCTCACTTACATGTGGAACTAAAATAGTCAAGCTCAGAGGCTGAGCGTAGAACGGTGGTTTCCAGGACCTGGGGGGAGGGGGAGGTGGGGTGGTGGTGATCAAAGGGTATTAATTTCAGTTATGCAAGGGAAGTATTTTTCTGGGGATCCACTACACAGCAGAGCACGTATAACTAACAATACTGTACACTTAAAAGTTGCTGAGAATAGTAGCTCTTATGTTAAATGTCCTTACTACGGGAAAAAAATGAAGGGGGCAGGAGGAAACTTTGGGAGGTGATGGATATGTTCATGGCTTGGATGGTGGTGACGGTTTTATGAATATATATACTTATCCCCAAACTCACCACATTGTATACATTGAATACATACATCATTTTACATGTCAATCGTACCTCAATTCATGTCACTCCTTGCTCATACGGGGTGGCTTCCCAGTAAAATTCGCACTCCCCTACGAGGCCCTGCAGTATCCGATGCCCACTCCGCCCTTACATTGCCTACCACCGCTCACCCCTCACTTGCTTCACTCCGGCCACAGGCCGAAGCCCGGAGCCCGGAGCCCGCAGGCCGAAGCCCGGAGGCCGGAGCCCGGAGCCCGGAGGCCGGAGCCCGCAGGCCGAAGCCCGGAGGCCGGAGCCCGAAGGCCGAAGCCCGGAGGCCGGAGCCCGGAGCCCGCAGGCCGAAGCCCGGAGGCCGGAGACCGCAGCCGGGAGCCCGGAACCCGCGCCCTGACGCGCGCCCCTAGCGTCCGGGGTGCTCGCGCAGCGCGGGTAGGAAGGCGACCACCGCGTCCACGAGACACTCGGCGAGCACAGGGGTTCCCCTGCCGAGGAGGACGGCCCTGCCCCTGCCGCGTTCCCCAGGACCTCATCCCTCCGCTCCCCCCGTCTTCCTTTCCTGTCTCGGACCCCAGGAACCCAGACCCGCGGTCGGCTCGGCAGGGAGGCGTACGGACGGGGACGCACCTGCGGCAGGGCGGCGACGAGCAGCGCCGACAGGAGGCCGCCCCGCATGTTCGCCGCCGCGCGCGCCGCGGGCCCGCGCTGTCCGCCGCCGCTTCCTGTTTACCTCCGCGGGGCGGCGGCGGGCGCGGAGCGGGGGCGCGCGCCCCGGGCGGGGGCGGCGGGACTGCCCTTGGGAAACGGGGACCGCCGGGGCTTCGTGTTCCCCGCAGCCTCTCCCGCCGCGGGCCCGGGCTGCCGGCCGCCGCGAGGAGCACAGAGCACGGGCCTGGCCCCTGCCGCGGCCGCCCTGGGCTCCTCCTGGGCCGGCCCTGGGCCCCCTCCTCGGGTCCGTCCAGTTGCTGATTCCCTAACCCTAAGCCCGACGCCGTCTGGTACTTACCCCTGTCACACACATTTCCCACACCGGGGCACAGTAATTGGGAAATGTGGATGGAACACGGGGGGGACCCCTAGGGTGTCTGCGGGAGAGAAGCCCCTTTGGGCGGCCCCAGCCCCATGGCAGTTGAGAGTGAGGTTAACCCCGTTTGCGGGCTAAAATGAACCAATTACGCTAGTGGCAATCATGCACTTAACAAATTAAGATTAAAAAACGTTTATTATGGATGTGTACTCTTCCCATCTTCACCCCCGAGGTGGCGGGTGTGCCCGCCAGCCCACCTCCGGGGTCCAGGCTCATCCGGGGACTTCTGCTTGTCCCACATTCTCCACCGTGCTCTTTGTTCGTGTATCTCGATGTGGGTGTGTGAGGGGCTTTGTCTTCTTGTGGGTGGGGTGCGCGGCCACCTTCCTGCCCTCATCCTCGGGACTATTCTTTTCCCTCTGATCTGTTCCCTAATTAGCATTCCTGCTCCCCTCCCTCTCCTCAGCTCACCGCTCCCCACCCCCCCGCCACCCCGGGTCTGTTCAGGACACTGACAGCTACATGCAGGCCTAGCGCCGAGGGTCTGGGGAAGCTGGGTTCCACCAGCATGGGACCAGGGTCCTTGGAGAACGAGGGACTCCCTGAGACTCAGAAACTACGCAGCTTGCTAAGCAGTCGATTTTGCCGTAATTACATATACACCAAACAAGGAATATCCCACATAGTTAACAGCATCAACTCCGTTTGCTAAGAAATAGGACAAACCCTAGATGGGCCTAGAGAGGAAAATGTGTCTGTTTTGGTCCAAGTGACCTACTTCCATCTTTCTGGTTTAACACCCAGCTTCTGGGATTCATGCTGAACCTCGGCCATCGGCCATCAGAATAGATAATTTCTCGTTTCTGGCCAGACGTGGAAAGCAGATCTCAGACCCAGACAAGCATACTCCTCAGCTACACCCCTCCTGTTCCAGCGGCCCCTGTTCCCGTGTGATGCTGCACCGATCTGCACAGTGTCTGAGCTGACAAAAGGCACACTGGTGTTTGCTCTTTGAGATGCTGGTGGCAGCAGCCACTTCTCTGGAAATATCTTGTGTCCCTCGGCTATCTCTCTGCCACAGGCAGGGCAGGTGTCATACCCTCTGTCCTCACCTCTTGGTAGGAGAGGAGCATCTTAGTTGAGAACTAATTTTCGAGGACTCCATCCCCCACCCCAAAGTGTACATAATTGATCGATTCCGGTTATTCACTATCCAGGGTGTTTAGACATCTCCAGCCACAGGCATGCTCCTATTTACCTACTTAAAGCCTGTATGGATGGACTAAGTGAATACAGTATTTCAGAGATTGGCACTGCCATCTTCAACTTTAGCCAAGAACCATCACAATGTGCATCCAGTTCTAAGCCTTGCCTCTATTATCTCATTTAACACAATGCTAATCTGTCTAGAACCTCATTTCACAAGTGTTCAGTTTGTAATGTACAAATAGACATGGCATTTGCAACACATTTTACGATATCCAGGGACGTTTAACATGTATTATCTTTTTAAATTTCACAGCTCAGTGAGGTTAAGCAAAAGTAGTATTAACCATCTTCACGTAACAGATAAAAAGCTGAAATTAAGTGATTGTAGTTGGTCAATAATACACACTCAGTCCCTGCCCTCTGCAGCTGTATCATCTCCTGGGAGACAAATCACTAAGCATCTGTAATTAAAAACTGAAAAGGCTAATAATAAAGAACAAGAAAGTCTGACAGGTAGGAGCTAATCTAGATTGTGGGGTAGAGAGGACATCTCTGAGGAGGTGACACTTAGAGTTGAGAGATGAAGCCAGCTGAAGAGTTGAGGAAGACTTGGGATGTAGTGCCCTGTCCACCAGCAAATGCATGCTGCTGATGGTGACAGGCTCCATGTGCAAAGAGCCCACAGCCCTTCCTGGGGATTCCTGAACGCTTTCTACCAGGAGCACCATCACAGCTAGAATACTCCCTTCCCTGGGGAGGCTCAGCCATCAAGGCAAGCGAGCATCCCACCCCACCATTTGTCAGTGAGCTTAGCATAGGCGAGACTTCCTTTCCCCATTCCTCTTTCCCCTCTCTTGTTGGAGAGGGATCTCTTTTTAGCTTTGAGAAGACAGCCCTTGCTGGTGTGCTGTGAGGGTGGGTCGGTGTTTGCACCCGTGAAACTAGTAATGTGGTAACAGCTAAGAATGAGCACTCAAGCTGCCTCTTCATGGTGCTGCGTGCTGTGTGCACATGGACTCATTTGATCCCCGAGCAGCACAGCAGGACGGCCATCTTTGTTTTACTTATGAGAAAACCCAGACAAGGCCACATGGATAGCAAGCGGTACAATCCTGATTCCAAGCATCTAATCCCTATGCTCCGCTACACTCCGAACGGCCCATAAATCACATAACGATCTCTAGCAGGATGGTGTATCGAGAGATTAATCTGTGTCGAGTTCTCAACATTTTTCTTCCTCCTGCTCCCATCTCCAATCCCAAGGCGTTAGTGAGGCCTTTTATATTTCCCTCCGATGCATCCTCCAGGCAGAAAACGGAAGCTGCTGGAATGTTTTAGCTTGTCTTTTAAGGAAATTTGATCTCAGTGGAGAGGAGAGAGGGGAGTTAGTTTGAGGCAGTGTAGAAGAGGAGGGAGTAAAGGCCATAGGCTGAGCGAGGGCCGGGCTCTCAGGCCTTTCCGTGTCAGTGGCAAGGCCCAGAGGGACTCGTGTCCCACGGTGCCCCCCGGAGACTCACAGTGCCAGGGCTCCGCATCGCTGAGTTCCCTGCAGAACTCTGTGCCTCAGCAGATCCAGACCAATCAGGAGTGGGCAGAAAGTTCTGGAAGTGAGGACCAGAAGCCGGGCCTCTTTTCTGGGCACCAGCCAGGCTTCCTGACTGTTGTTTCACGTCTGAGGGTGGCGTGTGCGCTGGCACTGGGTGTGGGGAGGAGCAAATTGGTGATCACTGAGAATAAATCTACCTCCAGATGCGAATGAGGGCGCAGGATTCAGACCCAGGTTTAATTGAATTTTCACTAAAATATAACCAATTTAATTTAATCTAATTTTACTTTGAGGAGAATGAAGAAATGGACATTTCCTATACTCTATTACATAACTTATGGAGTCATTCATACCCACTAAAAGTATTGTAAATCTCACAAAATTGCCATTCGCCTTGTGTTCTCTCCCCTGAAAATTCACAGGCCTCAAAACCAAAAGCAGTTTGGGAACCTCTGTGACACCTCCTCTGGCTCCCTGTCCACTTCCAGTGGGCCTGCTACTAGACCTCTAACGATTCCGTGACTCTTCCAGCCGGGTTACCATGGCAGACCCAGCAGTGCTGAGGGACAGTCATATGACAGGTGTTCAAAAGAACTCGTTGGTTATTTAACGGGACCCCTTTTAACGTCACCCTATACCTACCACAGCCAGGCCTGCTTATAATTCTGCCACGCCTGCCTTTAAATCTGCACACATTTATCCACTGCATCCTTTTAGGCCCATTTCTAACTCTTACTAATTATTGCAATATCCACTTACCTTTTTCCTATATGTCCTCTGTTAAACGCACCCCAATTTTTTTACAAGGTTCTGGCCTCAAAGATCTCCACATGATTTTTGTGAGAGAGCAGGTGTGGTCTCTCTCCTCCCTCCACTGACCTGCCTCCCCTACTGACTCCTGGGCCCCTTGGAGGTGCTGCCTTGTGCACTAAGGCACTGCCAGTCCCTCACCCAGGAGAGAGGGCCAGAGGAGACGCAGGCTCTGCTTGGCCTTCCGCCCAGCTTTAGTGAAGCAGATCCAAGAGCGAGCGCCCCTGGCAAGTGTAAATATCTGGCCCTGCCATCTGTGTGGCCCTCACAGCAGAGTCTCCTTGAAGAGAATCACATACTCTCATTCCCAGGGCATCAAAAAGTCAGGCTATAGCACAACGAAAGCAAGGCCAAATACCTCAGAGTCATCTAATTTGCTTTTTCATTTGGCCCTGCTAGTCTGGGAAAAAGGGCTGAATTAATCAGGCACAGGCACTGAGGATGGCCATCGAGAAGTAGGGAGAGGAGGATGAGCTGTTTTCCTATTTCCAAATGTGAGTGGAGCTCACAGGCATAATGCACAGAACCTTTCTTTCACTCCCTTTCACATGGGATGAAATCCACCCTGGGTAACTAGGCAGAGGCCCTCCTGAAGCGGCGACCTGCCCCTGGCCCTTTCCACAGCTCACCTTTGTGCTGTAGCAGCACAGAACATCTGCGCTGGGCATTCCCCCAGCTTCTTACTTGTGTGGGTGCTGCTCTACTCCGCTGGGTCCGTTCATGTGACAAGGCTTTCCCGAGAGGCCTTGCTAACCAGCACCACAGAGCAGAGGTCCTTAGGCCCTTTGCACACCATCCCTGGGCCATGTAAAATCCACATTGTATCTGCTTCCATGTAGGGCTGCCAAATGTCTAACAAAAGATGCTAAGAATGATAGGATGCCGTTAAATTTTTTAGTATATGTGGGACATGCTTATACTAAGAAGTCATTCATTGTTAATCTGAAATCCAAATTTAATTGGACAAATGTTTGTATGGGTTTTCCCTGCAAGACTGTGTCCGTGTGAAGGTGAAGCCTGCAATACACCCTTGGCACCACAGAATGAGTGGCAGGTGTTTGGTAATCTGTACGAATTTTACAGATTGGCACTTGGAGGTTCTAATTATAAAGGTACTCATCCTACAGACTAATGAATAAACACTACACTGATAATTTTTCTTTTCCTTTTAAGATCAATCTACTTTTGAAGTTCAGCGTTGTTCCGTGCACAATGTAGGTGGGCAGCTTCCGAC